AGAATTTTGCGCATTTCTTTCAAAATACTCCTGTTTCGCGTTCTTGATTGCAATAAACAAATCACGCTTCAAATTTTTGAATTGACGATTATTGCTTTCATACTCGGAAGCACTTTTCGACATTTTTCTTCTTTTGTATGCGTGATTTTTATTTTTTATTAAACGTCTAATGTGACTGTTAATCCAAGGTGCACTGCTGTTTGAAGCTCTTTTCGATCGCAACGGATAGCACCTTTCAATTATATCAGCCAGACCACCAACAACATTCGAAACTTCTTCGTCAACGTTAGGATAATCCACGTAGTTTACGTACTGCTTCATGAAATCGAATACTTGGCTCTTAAAAGACTGACTACTAGTCGCTTTCCAGTCTCTATAATAAACCACTCTGTGCTCCGGTTGCGCACATTGAAATGCAGAGACCGTTTTGCACAGCTTGTGATCCGAAAAACTAATATCTGACGGCTGGCACGATGAATACGAATTCTTAGGACTGCATAAAATTACATCAATTTTGCTGGACGTTGTAAATAAAGTATTATCTGATTGTCTCAGGCGTTGGGCTACCCGAGTATACCCGATTACCTTGTCTTCGAAAGAAAATTCATCCACAAAATCTCTGTACAGTTTAACATAGGGGCTCGACGAACCAGGGGAGGAGTCGATGTTAAAGTCACCCATGATAATATGATCGCAGTCCAGATGTTTTAGTAAAACTTCCCGCAAATGATCAAACAAAGCTTTTGTTTCAGTGGAAGTCGAATCTGGCTGACGATAAACAGTACCAATAATAATTTTCCGATGTGAAACAGATAATTTTAGCCAAAGACACTCAAACCCCTTAGAACGATACTTCAGCTCGACACGCTCAGCCGTTATATGCTGAGGAACATAGCACAAAATTCCACCACCGCGAGATTTACCATGAATATTAGGACGATCGCTACGAAACAAACAGTATCCAGGAATAAAAAACAGTTGGTCAGGATCCGAAGGACGAAGATGAGTTTCAGTAACAGCAAAGAATTTGGGAATATTATCATCAGTGCAGAGATAATCTGACAGTAAATCAAGCTTATGATAGCTATCATAGGGCAGCCCCTGGATGTTTAGATGGTGAAACTCTATGGGCGACATTTTGGTCGACGACATCTTACAGAATCAACACAATGGTTAATATCATATATCAGAAGAACAAGCAAAAAATTCTACGCTTTCTGTTGCCAATTTATAAGGGGAAAAGTCATAAAAACATGCATGAAGTGAGATTACGCGCGCTGGCTGAACGGATCCAAATTAATCCGCCAGCCAGCCAGCCGAGCTTTATAGAAATGCAAATGCTTTTTCAATAAATTTTGTGATGAACTAAAATTCCACCACCGGATGCTGATTTCACTGTGCTTTATATTGTGGTCACTATTATAATATGCACTTTGTAAGCTAACTGGAAACTATGCCGCCAAGAAGGGACGTTAATAACAATCATTTTACCTGGCAATGTGTATTTGCGTGCTTTAAGGGATTTGGCCCGGTACATAGCACAAAATTCGGGTACATACAAGGGAACTTTCGCTGTCGCGCAATCCTAAACACTTTTTTGCATTACTTTAAGACATTTTATAGCCAAAGAATTTGTATACGTAGGCGAAATCCGTTTGCGCGCGCAACTTCCGGTTCGGGAGTACTGTAATTAATGAAATAGAATTCCAAAAGTTTAAACGCGCGGAGGTGTACGAAAAGTCTCATTATGAACCGATGCTCTTCAAATTTTGCACGAAAATGCACACCGCTATGACGATCATTTTGGTACCGAACCAGCTTTCTACCATTTTTTTCAAATTTTTAACTGATTTTTAAAATTTTTGAAATTCATTTAAAAATATTTGGAAAAAAATGGCAGAAAGCTGGTTCGGTACCAAAACGATCTTCATAGTTATGTGTGTTTTTGTGCAAAATTTGAAGAGCATTGGTTTAAAATGAGACTTTTGATACACCTTCGCGCGTTTAAACTTTTGGAGTTTTATTTCACTAAAAACTCACGAACCGGAGGTTGCGCGCACAATTAAACGGTTTTTTCGCCTATGTATACGAATCCTTTGGCTACAAAATATCATAAAGCAATGCAAAAAAGGGTTTCTGAGCGCGCGGCAGCGAAAGTTGCCGTGTATGTACTTATACAAATTTGGTGCTATGTACCGGGCCAAATCCCTTAACTCGGTCCACTTTACCAAGTTACCAAAATCTCTGTAATAAGGTAATACTCTGCATTAGTCGCCGACTTTTCATGACTTTGCCGCTTACATATTGTGCGAATAATAAATTTCTGGTGGCTTTTTCTGGCTATGGCTGGATTCGTATGGCTTTTTCTGGTGCTGGACAGCTCGGACTTGTACAATTTATTATTCGCACAATATGTCACTGAATGCCAATGCATCTGTACGGTATTCATATTTGTGTGCCAGTTTCAGTATATTTTATTCTACCTATTTTTAATTGCTGGCTACTTTAATTCACAATAGCATGATAACAATATCAAGAGTTAGCTTCACTTAAACAAAACAACATTTTCTACAGTACCCATAACAGAAGCGGCATTACCTCTTTGAATTGCTAAAGATATATTCTGTCTCAAAATCTCGTGGCTGCGAATTTCGCCTGTTTCTAGCTCGATCCTCTTTCCGACTTCTTTGAGCAGCTTCTTGGCTGATGTACCAAAACTTCCGAAAGTTTCGAATCCGACGGCAGCAAACTCATACCGTCCTGAGAGGAAGTTGTATTTTCGCTCTTTTTCGGCTTCGGCCTGGGCGGCGGCCGCTCCGGCTTTTACGCTGGTGTGTACCAAGTAAGACCGGGCAACGGTGTCGACAACGGTCACAACCCACGCCAAACACAGCCCTCTGACCCAGGGAAGAGTGGTGATACCATCTGGACGTGTGTCGTTATCGTAGTGCATTCCCCTAGGCTCCGTTCGCGCCTGGATGTCTGCTGAAACCAGAGCGCGTCGCAGGATATCATTAATGCAGTCGTGTCTGGGCAGTCTTCCAGCAGAAAATTTGCAACTCAATCCATGGTGGCCGTCAGCAGCGACTTCGGTACCACACCTGCACTTCTACCTATTGGGGAGTGGTAGCAGGATGCAATTTTGTTCCAAAAAAATATCAGTAACTTACAGCGATTCCCGGCTTTTCTAATGCTAGCCTGTAGCGGTGCGAAGTAGACGACGGAATTCGTAGCGCTACGCCCATGCGCTGAAATCAGACCCACGAAGGAAAACCATTTGGGAACATAAACCCAGGCGCGCGCCACGAAAAAGCTACCGATCAGCAGCCATGATGCCAGGAATATAACAAACATTTTAAAAAGCGCCTGTAGCAGTATCATTTCTCCTTGAACACCGTTGACCCGCGTCTTGGGGTGGATGCCTTTAGGTTATTGGTAACTTGATCGGAATTCATGCATATAATTTCACCATTGACGTCAACCGTTGGTACTACAGAATAAAAAGAAGAAGAAGAAGCAGAAAAGTTGTCCATACCAACGTCCAAGCATACTTGAATATCTCTATGCCACTAGAATCTCGATATCCCTAAAATGTTCAGATTTATATAAAACAAGCACATTTTACCAAAAAAGGAATAAGCTTTGAGAAAATATTCAAAACCTTAACCGAAGAAAAGCCTACGGGAAATCGAAAACCAGTAACACAGTTCACAGTTACCGGCTCGCTCAGGTTGCGGGTATTTATAAGAATGCATTCAAGAAATTAAAAAAATACCGAGGGCGGCGCTGGTTGCCACTTGGTTTTTGTTGCCCGTAAGATGGCGGCGCCGAGCACGAGTACGACGCACCCGCATGCAGATCTTCAAATACGCGTAGAAACTGATGCCGATGGGAACGGCGCTCATCCCGTAGAAGACCGAGTACGACCACAGACCGAGTTCGGCGGTACACAGGTAGAGGTCACCGGAGAAACTAATGTGGCCCCAACCAAGGAAATTCGGCATATGGATGCTGTGGGCAATAATCCACAGGCAGATTATCATCAGTACGACGCGAAGCGGGGTGAACATGTTCCGGTACACGGCATAGTGGCAGATGCAGATATACCTGGGATACGAAACCGATTCTGCAAAGGGAAACGAGTTCACGAGCGAAAACAAACTCTAAAGAAATTTTGATGGCGCCTTCACTTAAACATTTTCCTCTTTTTTTATTTTGCAGGTCTGGAAATTTTTTGAATCTGCGCAAGACTAAGGAAACCGATAATTTATTTGTGGGAACACCGGGTCGATATTTCACATGATCGAGCAGTGTTCTGACTCATGCTGGCTGCCACCTAGTGCGGGCAATGACCCGGCCATCAGCCTACTGATACAGTTTTGGATGCTCTATTTATCAAAAATAATTTCATATTTCTAATTTCATATTTTATACTTAAACCGCATTACTTATTTAGGCACCCCTTGTAACAACCAAAATGGTTTTGCTACATATCTTAATGAGATAAACAAATCTTATTATGTGTTAAACTGTAAAAAATCAGGTGTTTTGTACTCTGAATTTTCAAAATGTAATAACTGATTTCACTGTTTTCGGAAAAATTCAGATTTACCGTAGAACCTGCGCTTATACAAGAATAGGAAAAAATTTTGATAAGAGTTTTTGTTTTTAAATTTTAAAATACGTTCAACACTTGCGTTTTTGTACCGCGCCAGATGTAACCATATGTACTGCCGCTACGACTTCCTCCAGCCGGGTGACGGCTGTAAGTCCAGGAATATCTTGGTTATTCAGAACTTGGTCACAGTTTAAAAAGAAAAAATGTTTACAACCTTAAATATATAACAAATTTTCTTTAATACTTCCCCTTATATAAAAAAAAATAAAATACTGGTAAACCGATTATGACATTAAATTTCAGGGAAACAGTATAGCGACGTTTAGTATTGCGCACTTAGATAATTCGAAGGTAGTTGGCTCCCGCCTGAAATTGTGGCAGAAGTTATATATTTCGTCGCCGCCCGTTCCGTCGGAAATTTCGTCATAAAGCCAACAAAACAAAAACAAAAATGCGCGCAACTACGAGTAAACACTGGTGTTAAAAGCAAAATTATGCGCTGCAAACAGTCAACGTTGTGTAAAGGTTATTGCATTTTGTACTCCAAAAACTAAAGCGAACACAAAGAATCAAAAGTATACCGGCGCCAAGAACGATTCTGCCGGTGTAGTGCTATTGCGTAATTAGCACGGTTAACAACGAAAATACAGACTAAACTTGCTCAGCAGGTTATTGGCTAATCGTCTTCGGTGCGGTCGCTGGAGCTGTATCCATACTCGCTGGAATCTTCGCTTCCAAACACTTCATAGCAATTCATGTAGTCTAACAGGGCCAGCAGGCAGAATTTGTTCAGCTGGCGCACGTCCACTGCTGGCACAGTAGACAACGTCCACTTGTGTCCGCGATAATGCGCGGACGCTCGCGGGTCACAGGCTTGATAAACCTCCAGAATCTACAGAAATTACCCGGATTTCTATTTCACACCCTAAGAGGACAGGAAGCCAATAACTGACCAAGGCACTATTTCCGGCTCTACATTCAGAAAAATCTCATCTTTCGGAAAACGGTAGAATATGTACAGGTACAATATACTCGTATCACGTATGTACAAATCCGTCCCGTAATTTTTTTACATCAACCAATGCATGTTAATGCAGGTTAAACCAAACCGCATATTACAGCGCGCGCCAAATTAATTACGCTCTGCTTGCATCTGGCATGGTACATAATTATAAACTATCGCAATAAATTTTTAAAAAATTCGCTTCTTGCATTCATAATTCTCTGGAAAATTCGAAATATAATAATATTGAAGCGTTCCCCGTAACAGGATGCTGTTTTGTACGGTGTCGCGCAAACTTCGCGCTAATTACGCTATCTGTTACTGTACTGTAGTGACAAGTAAATTCCGCACCATTTCGTAGAGCCTGAAACGCTAGAGCTGCATACAGGGTTCAGCGTTCGCTGAACGCGCTGAACAGCTTCAGGCTGCCAGTAGCAAAGGGCAGAGCGTTGCTCACTATTGAAAAATCGTTCCTGCTTCAAAACGGCTCTCTATCAAGGTTAATAGACTTGAATCTGATCAAGAATATATTTTTATAATTTATGTTTCCAAAACAAGCGAACTGTATTACTTATTATCTAACTTGTTCGAATTGCTTCGTGGTACCCGCAAGTACTACTGAATATGAAATATTCCAAACTGCTTGTTCATCCATTTCATAAGCCTGACGACAGGGAACCCTCTGAAAGCTAGAGCCGTCCATACAGCGCTTGCCTAGCATGCAGTACGAAAAAGTGCGGAATTCACTTGGAATGTTAGAAATTACGGAGCAAGACTGAACATTTACTCACTCGTTTCACTTCTTTGGCTCTCGCACGGCTATTACTCGAACCGGCTATAAAGCGGGCAATGCACTGCGCATCGAACCGGCTTTCCCCGCACAAATGCTTCTCGAACACATCCCACATCTGTGCCTCATCGATACTGTTCAGCGGGAAGACAGCCCAGGGAATGCGAACTCGCATAAACACCCCTTCACCTTCGTTCTGACAGTCCAATGAATACTTGGCCCATATCAAACGGTCACAGCGAGACGCCAGCTGGGCATTCAGCCCCACCAGATCAGCACAAAACCTACGCCAGTTAAAGCCGCCATACCGACGCATCGGGATGACCAGTGATCGCCCGTACTCTATCCAGCGGTGAATGCGAAGACCGGCGCGGTCCAGAATGCTTACAGCCAATACTATGGCGTCGTGGGCTTCGGTCAAATCTTCCCGTGTGTCACAATGCGTTGGACCATATCTGACATGCTTTGAATAAACGCGGTGGATAATGGTGCGCGTGGCGGCCGTTGCGTGCTTGAAGAGACACGCGTACACCACGTAATCATATCCGTGGTCCTGATACAACCCGTTATTAGGGTTGAACAAACCGTACTCGCGTCGTGTCAGGCGGATATCGCTGCATGTATCCGCACAAGTCAGAAGCGCCTCCCACAGTTGACAGGTGCGGCGGCAGCGCTGCCGATCAACGGTGTCCAGCGACAGGAAAACCTCTTTCAGCAACTCCAATGGCAATGCCAACTGGCTATCATCGACACTAGGCGGCTTCGTGGTTGGCGGCTCGTACGGCAGCGTTTGCGTAGCCTCCGCACTTTCCATGGCATGCTCGTTACGGGGTGAGACTGTTCTACGGCCACGTTTCTGCCTTGTAAGCTCGAATGCTTCGGCCTGCAGTTGCAACATTGAGAACCCAGTTAACGATAGTACCAGTAGAACTGCTTGGCTACGCGACAGGTCGTCGCGGGACATTTCGTTTTACGTACATTTCGTCTAAGGACAACTCGTTTTTGTGGCAAATAATCACACGGCTGTTCGTTGCCATAAACCAGTCGGTAATATTTCGACACCCCCAAAGTCGCACAACCAAATGTCACACAAGAAAACGGCTGCAAAACAAGTTGTCCCAAAACAAATTAGCCGCTACGACGAGAAACGTCTGGCGAAATGTCCCACGACGAAATGTCCCGCGACCACTTGGGCTGTTACGGATGCGCGGTGCCCGGTACGTGAATCCGGAATGCGAAAAGCGTCGCAGTAATATACAGATTAAGTTTTTCTTTCGATCGCTAATCGCTGTTAAAATTACAGTTGTGCAAAATTAAAAGCAAATCCGATGGTAGTTAAGCTTTGGAGCGGATCAACAGATAACAGCAGTAAAACCTCAGAGCTAATGAAAACATAACCTCTGCAATATGGCCGACAGCCACTTACCACAGCTTTATCCGTCACAGCAGCCGTGCCGCTCCGTCGGACATAGTGCATCGTCCGGCTGCGAATGCTGAAGAACGTTACACGAAATTTATTCTGCACTTGTCGCAGTAGCGACTCCGCTGTAGATGGATTGCGAGCCCATTCCGTCCGATAGCCTTCCGGCACCCGGCACGTGCCCATCACAAAATCCCGCGGTCGAACAAGTTTGCGCTGGAAGGCTTCGTGCGTCATCGACCTCCGGATCTGGCTGCAGGGAACTAATTCGGCAGAACGATATTCGGCCCGCGTTACTTCCACCATAGCGTAGACTTGTAGGCGTCCGTTCGTCCACGAGTGGAGAACTGTGCCGGGATACCATATCCAAGGGCGACCCGGATAGTCGTGCAGCAGCACCAGCACCTCCATGCCAGCCGCTACGCTCGCGATGCAATCGTGATCCAGCCGGCCATGGATGATTCTTCCGTACTCAACCACGACCGATCGCTGAGCCGGGCACCAGAAATCCACGATGAGACGCGGCGGAACGCTGCCGTTCTCTTCCATGCCGACGACATGGCCGCGCTGCAGTCGACCGTCAACCTCCACATCCACCGCGTTCCACTCGTATAGTAACCCCGGGTCAGAAAAAAGTTGCATTCTGATTTGTCAGCTGAAGGGCAGAAAGACAAGCCTGGCCAATCGTCTTTATGTCGTCTGCAAAAATTAGGGCAAAATTATCCAGAATAACCGACGAGATCGCTCGAAATACAATTCACTGAGCTACTAAGTACAAAGTTGATCATCTGAAAGATAGGGAATAAAATGAAGTTCTTGCTCACCCAAACGTTCACAGAACGCAGACGTGTCACCGAAAGCTGAATCTGCGAGAAAAGAGCAGCACGAGTGTCCACAGCGCTCAAGAATTTGACCAAATAAGACTTATAAGAAAAATGTAAATCATGGAGATAGTAAAAAATAAATGCGAGTACTGGAGTTTTTGCTCCAGCGAGTTTATTCACGAAACTTTCAAATTTTTCACCACGACCGTGTGGAACCCGTTCACGCACAGACATGTAACTCACCTTGACAGGTAAGTGCTGTTACATGGGCGTGTGCCCGTGCAGCATGACAAATCAACTGATCGCGGACCGCAGTAGCAGAAGTCAGGCCTTGTTGTAGGCGTGCCCTGAAAGTCTGAAGCTGGTTCTGAATACAGTACTTCTACTGAAACTTTGAGCCTGCATCCTAAACAGAAGGGTGCCGCGCCAAGTTTGGGCTGTTAAAAAAATTCCTCTACTTTTACCTTTTACCGTCTAAAAATTTTTTTAAACTTTTGCGTGATAGTATTTGGTCTGTCGCACTTTCAGTACGATGACAACTGGGTGCTGTGAACACCCCCATCGCAATTGGGCTGCGAGGAACAGCCGGTTAGCCGTAGCTCGCAACGCTACTGTCGTCACAGTCTAAATGCAAACGGCTTAATACTTCATTTCGTTGCCATGCAGAAAGATGAGGTTCAGTGAACGAGCGCCAAATTTCTAATTGAATTTTTTGTGCAAACATCGCCCTGCTTATTATGAAAATACGAGTATAATCAAGTTTATTTGACAAGTATTTAAAATCGGAGGAGGCTGAAAACGGTAGCATGGTCACATAACGGAACCCTCTTGCTTCTCACTTCAAACAAACTTTGCCGTTCGAACAAAATTTGTACCGTAATAAGAAAACATGAATAGCATAACAAACACTTAAAACATCATAATAAACAAAATCTCGAAATTGATCTAAGAAACCGTAAGAAATAACATCATAAACATATGGAACATGAGAAACATTAGAAATATCATAAAGAATAAGAAATCACACGAAATAATATAGCAGTCTGGCCAGAGTCTGGCGCTGGTATTCAGATTCAGAGTTTGTTATTCAGAATCAGAATTCTAGTATTCAGACTGAGAGTTTTAGCATTCAGAATCAGATTCAGACTTTCAGTGCAGACCCTTGTGGGGCCTAGGGCTAGCAAGAGGAACGCTGCCCAAGTAACCTGACAGGAAAACCGTCCGACATGACGTCCGCATAAAGTTTGTCCACCCAGTTTTCTTCACTCTTCATAAAACAACTGGGATGATCCAGGAGAGCTTTCATCTGATCAGGGTCACCGTTGAACTGCAGCTTCCTATCAGAGAGCGGACAAGGACAATCGCTTTCTGTATGTCAATTTTGTGAAGTTGCCCATTATGTATACATATTTACACTGCCAGGTTTTTTCACTTGCCGTGCCATTGGCAATGCCACTGTCAGGTTTTACACCCTGCCCACCCATCACGCATCATGATAAGATTGACCTGCTGGTTAGCAAGCGCCGCGAAGCCGGGATTCGGCCTGGCTTCGCGGCAGAATAGCCAACAAGCTAACTGGCCGCAGATACTGCGGTAAAATAGCAAAAGGCTATTTTGCCGCAAAAACTGCGGCAGAATAGTCACTCCGAATTTTTAGTGTTGACGTTATTAAAGGTCACATTCTTCTGGCCTCGACGAGTATAACCTAAGCTCGGCGCTTCAAAAATATGCAGGATATTTCTTTGGATGATTTTTTCGGAGAGGACGGCTGGCGAAACAATGTGTCCGCCACAGCCTGGACCGCCCGGGCACCTGACAGATTATTCAGGTTTTTGAATAAATTTTTGTTAGAGTTCTAATTTTTTTTAATAGACGTACGCAATTAAATTTTGTGTAGACCAGCACAGGTATATCTATGTGACATTCTGGTGAACGGTCATACGTTGGTCCATGCAGTAAACGCGGTAAATAATATTACGTTGAGATTGTGGAGGCAATACTGGATCCCGTTAGACTTAAGGGAAGTATTCAGGGTTGCAGTATATATTCTTGTGTATCAGTACGTTACTACATGCTTAAAACTTTCGCTTTAACGAACTCCAAAACACACTGCTTTGCATTGTTTTATGATCTTTTTTATCACAATGATTTGTATATTCGTACATCAGTTTCGCGTCAACCCGTTGCTGCGCTGAACCAGTTGAAAGCTAATATTCCGTGATCTAGTCCAGAAATAAAAGTGCACGCGAACGTTCACTTTAAGAGTACAGCGAAACTTCTCTACAACATAGAAGTTGATCCAACCTCGGTTCTTACCGTTCTGAATGTTACAGAGGGGTGCATGTTTATAGGGCACACCCCGTACGAGCACTGCCCTTAGGAGAAATTCCCACATGGGTGCCAGGGCCAGAGATCATGGAGAATGTAATGTTCGTGAAATGTATTGGTGAAATAAAATTGCATCCGGTTACCTAAGGATTCCACCGTGCGTAATGTGCTTTTGGTGGCGGTGACCGACGCAGTACAGGCACCACGAGTCACATGTGGCCTGAATATATGCGGCCACGATCCATGGGTGCATTGAGCATTCCAATTTCGGAGGGCAGAAATAGAAGATAAATCTGCTAAGAAAACTGACAAAACCGTGAAAACGCGCATTTGTTACCATGGGAGCCACCCTCCCGTGTATGCGAAAGTGGTGACATCAAACGGTGGTTACCAGCCCTTCTCACACTGCTTAGTGTAGTAAGTACTTGCGTGTACTCCATAGTATGTGTAGTAAGCACTCGTATACGTAAATAATACTCGTACCTACATTCAGAAAGTTATTTTGAACAACTAAATCTTGCTTTAAAATTCATTAAAGGGCTGATTTATCGTTTATATGTCGAGAAGAAGGGAAACAGAAATTTGAACGGAAAAAAGACAGCGGGATGATGCGACTAGATTTTGGCAAATGTTATCACGTCTAAAGGTCAATCGACGGAAATTAACTGTTAACCGAAAAATAGCGAAGGTCCTATATATGCAAGACTAATGCACTGCCTGATTTCTGTCCGTTATCGAAGTGCGTCAAGAAGGTTCGTTGAGGAATTTTGTTTCGGAAGTAACTCTATGACTTTACGCAGACCGTTATGACGCCATCGCAGCCATTGCTTGTGAAAGCATTAATGATCGCCTTACCGCAGCGGGCCTGCATAGCGGTATTGCGGCTTTTGATTTCTAGCCGTTACGCGGCCGGAAGTATCGCTATTATGTCACCGCATTCAACTACGGGCATGAATATACAATGCATCTGCATATTGCGCGCTAGTGACCCGCAACAAACAACCCAGGCTCCAATTTATCCGTTTTAAGTATGTTTTATAATAAATTTGAAATTATGTACTTTATTACCAAACACGCTGAATTTTCATAGCCAGATTGCACTGTAAATCAAATTGGTGTTCAAATGCCTGAAAATAAAAACCTGATTTTCGAACCATGTTTCAATTAGCCCAGGTTTCAAAGGGAAGAATATCTAGTGAACAAAAATTGCATTGTGAGTGAGTGACCCAGCTACCACCACTGTCCAGTGAACCAAACGAAAACACTAGGTGACTGATGACCGAGCAATAAATCAATAGGTTAACGAAATCAAATCGCTAGTTGAGTGAGGTGAGTGACAGAAATACGACCACTGTCCAGTGAACAAAATTGCTAGACGAGTGAGCGATCGAGCTAGACTCCTTGCCTAAGAATTTACAGCAACTGTTAAGCCAGTTAGTGAATCTACTAAAAAAATGGATTTATTTATTCAAAGCAGCCGAGGATCACAAGAAACGCGGAGGCGAAGCCGCAGCTGTTTATAGTAAAGTATAAACCGCAACCAGCGTTACCCAAAGGCTTTACCAAGCTAAAAAATCTTAGAGAACGGTTAGAAGTCAATATAGAATACTGTATTGCCGGAGTTGGTGAAGAGAAGGGACATCTTTGCCGGTTAGATGTTTTCTCCGACTCTCCAGTACCGCCGGTTCTTAAAAGCATAGATTACAAAAGTATTTTTGGGAAAAGCAGTAAACTTGCATGTACGCACATACAGCTGATATAAATTTTACTATCCTAAATGGAGCTTCTGACTTTTGTCCGAATCCTGCTCCTATTAGCAAATTTAAAATTTTCACCAATTTTAACCACAAAAATTTCCCTCGCTTTATGGCCAAAAAAACATTCCTTCCTTAAAATATTCCTAAATCTTTTTGACCACGAAATTTCCTTCCTTTAAAAATTCCTTCCTTTTTTCGACCAGAAAACATTCCTTCCTTTTTTTATTCCTTCCTCTTTTTAACGTTTTTTTGGAAGTATGCTTTTTGAGTAGAGCTAAGGACGAAATGGTCGCTTAGCCCCATACCCAGCATTCTGTACGTTCACTTGTACGAACTGGTTATTATTTTTCAACTCAGTCGTACAGTGCACTGCGTACTGGAAGTGGGGGTGTTGGGTTTGCGACCATTATTTTCGTCCTACTGATAAGTGTTAAGTCACGTATCACTGCATTAACGCAGAGTCGCAGACTATAAAGTTATAGCTCCCGTCCAAACGGCGCAAAAGTTTTCTCTGTTGTATGTATGTGCAGCCGGTGTATGTACAGTTATACACTGTAAAATTAATAGGGAATGTTAATGGCAGTAAATATTTAAGCAGGATATGGTTTTTTTAAATGTGGGCTGCCCCATCGGGCATCAAAGGGGACTGCCACTGCTGTTATTCTTTGATTAAGAGGCTGATTCAGGCCTCAACGATTCAGCACATCAAAGCGAATAACACTGTACTGCACTGCTGCACTACCGTATCAGATAATATGTGATTATGTTTTTGTTGTTGAGTATTCGTTTTCTTGTTATTTTGTCAACAAGATATTCCTACCACCAAAGCACACTAAGAGCACGTCCAGTTACTTGCTATCGTAAAAATATTAGGTTTTGCTGTTAAACGCTTATATGCTGCCACACTTGATCAAACGCACAGTAATGCGTAATTACTTAATTCTGAAAACTTTTTAAACGTTTACTAGGGCATTAACCGCAAAAAACTTCTTTCTTGTTTTTGACCATCAAAATTTCTTTCCTTTTTGGTGAAAAAAACATTCCTTCCTTTAAATATTCCTTCCTCTTTTTGAACTTAGCCGGTTATGCAGGCCAAAGCGTCAGCGCTTAGGATTGTTGTCTCGTAATCGAGCTCCGGTCTGCAGTGTAGCCTTCACCGATAACGATGCCTGAATAATTGCTTTGATTCGCCAGACGTCGACTCCACAAAAAAAAAGATTATCCTACCTCGGTAATTGATCTCTTCTTCTGTTTCTTACCTTTGCTTGTGTTTTAGCCGTTTTTCTAACAACGCTGGTCACATGTCATCATTATCAAGCCTTCGAAAAAATTAGCGGCATTTCCAGCCAACTATTTTAAACTTTAAACAGCCGCTTTAAACAGATAACTAGCCGCTACTCTACTCTGCAGTCGTCTTATCCTGCGAAGTTAACATAATGTTTTACTTAATAATATTCGGTTTATCACATGCCACAACTAGTGCCCTACCGCGAACCTAACCGCAACCGAAGATACCTGTCACCCTACAGAAGATGCAAGTCTGTCGGCATCGGCACCAGAATGGTTAATCCAGTCACTTGTGCACGAACTTTTAGGTAATAAAACTCTTTCAAAATTTTTAAAATTTGTTTTTGTAATTTTTTCGCTTAAGTAACGGTTTTATAAACAATTTATAACGAGTCTGCCAGGAGGAATCCAGTATTCTTCATTTACAGCTCTTATAAGAATTTTGTCGTATCGAAATGGTAGCAGATAGCATCCACTCAATACTCTATACACGATGCGCGCGAACGAGCACGGCAAGCCGTTGTTGAACGTATTATTAATTTTTTTCTACCGTCCAGAGGGCAGATTTGTACGAGTACAACAATCATCCTACGAGACTCAAATATCCAACAATAGTAACAGCGTAGATTCAGTTGTTTTTACCAAGGAATCGCGAACTGTGACAAAATCGGTTACCAAGTGACGAACAGCTGTCGAACCGCAATCTGCGGCAAAATAGCTAACCAGCTACCTTGCCGCTCGGACTGCGGCAAAATAGCCTATGGCTACCGAGCCGCAGTGTGCGGCAAAATAGCCAACCAGCTATAGTGCCGCATATTATTCTTACTGCGGCAAAATAGCCTTAGCCCTAAAAATTCAACCAGATGGTGGTAAAGGGCTTCCAGGGGTTATTTCTGTATTCGCGAGCTTTGAAATATTAGATACATTATGTTTTTGTGGATCTTGATTGAAAATCCGGAGGAATTGTGCATAAATCGCAGACAGCTGTTCTATTTTGGCAGCTGTGGTTTTTAACTACATTACCAGTTGCTGACTCTGCTGCCTCAGTTTTATTAATGGCGAATACAAAAATAAACTAAAAATTCTTGAAACAGTTTACATCATCGTGTTAATAAACAGCGGAAATATGTAGCCGGATATTTGGTTTAAGTTAGATGAAGGATGGTGTAGTTCCCTGGGTGGATGCCGCATTTATTCCCGCGTTGAATTTGAATGCTGATCCTCTGGCGCAAATATTCCGCTGCTCGAGTTTCGCCTGCTGTCTTAATTAAGACAAGAACGCTATTTGATGAAGATTGTTTTTAGATGAAAGTAGGGTCTGATGGAAAACCGCGCAGTTATTGCTCACGGATTCTGCTGCATTTGAAAGGTGAATCAGCAGGGCGCAATCCGAGGGAAACCGAGAAACGGCTGAAAAAGGCGCCGATGGGGGAATCGAACCCCGGCTACGTCGTTAGATCCGCGTAGGCAGTACCACTGCACCACGGCGCAATACGTTGAAATCCTTTGAAAGATTTTGTCGCTTTACGTGAGCCGCTTCTCTGCTCACAGGTGCATATCCTGGTACGCGCAACTTATAAGTAATAATTCTCCATTGGAATGCCTCAGGCAACAATAATCAGATGAAGCCGCTTCTCCGTTGACCACATCATTCGTCCACTTTGTGCAGTGTGATATCATACCAGTGTACAAACTAGTCCGAGTGAAATTTTCGGGCCATTACCCACGCCCAGCTGGCATAAGGGGCCTTTGGGGCGGATAGCCGAGGAAGCGGTCCCATGCGCCTCAAATTCGCTTGGGAGAGTGGTTTGGGTATCGTACTAAATGTGTTTTTTTTAAATCTTCGTAAAAGGGTAAACTATTTAAAAGTGAAAAGGAGAAATTTGAGACATTATAAAAATCTCGGAAAAAAAGTAAAGACTTTAAAGTCTAAATTAATTTAAAGAAAAATTTAAAGTTATTATGCAACCCTTGGCCGCCAGAAATCGCAAATAAGGGAGGGCGGACCGCCTGAAAACCGCAGCTTTCTACTCTTCTTCCCGAATTTTGGCTCAGGGCGTGTCGATTTTTCCTTCTCTTAATGCACTGAGTGTGTTTAGTGCGAATCGTTTTGTCTTTTTTGGCAAGTTCATTGTATACACTGTACGCGTTATTGTGTACAGTACTTACTATACTCGCAGCTATTTACGGTTGCGACTTGGTAAAAACGTTACAATAAGGCGATCACGAGCGTAAATGTCCTTGCTTTCTGTTTTCCCCACGGCTTTATTTTGGAAATTTTTCGAAAATTTAACTATTAATGTATGTGGGTTTTGGTTTCATGCAAAATAGCCAAAAGAGTAGTCCAGCTATCAGACGGCGGCAAAATAGCTGACAAGCTGAGCACCCGCAGTGTGCGGCAGAATAGCCAACAAGCTAACTGGCCGCAGATACTGCGGTAAAATAGCAAAAGGCTATTTTGCCGCAAAAACTGCGGCAGAATAGTCACTCCGATAGTTTAATCGCGGCTGGAAAGCCAGCAGTGTGGCGAACTTGCACGGTTGATGGCGTGCAAGGTTCGGCATCGCCTCGTTGACTTAGTGTTGTTTGTTCAAATTCCAGCGCGATACGCAAGTTTTTAATTCGATACGCAAGCTCAGGTACAGCGTAATTTTTGACGAGCGTTATAATCAGAAAAGGTATGACATTAAGCAGCAAAAACAAAGAAAGTGTGTATGTGTGCGATTTCTCTTTGTTATTAATTTTGATTTTCTCGCAACTTGCCCGGGAAATCTACTAGGGTGCCTCAAATTAATTTTGTAGGCTACAAAAACACCAAGAACCACTACCAGCGCCCTCATTTAAAGTCCTGCAGCGTCGCGTTGTTCATGAACTTGAGCCGGCCTTTCCCGCCGTACTTCTTCTCATAAATGTAGATGAAGCGGAAGAGCGCTTCCATTGTATGGCTGTTCTCCATCTCCACGTGGAACTGCTGTCCGAGTCCGTCCATAAAAAAGCGGAGCGGCCGAATCCCGGCGTCCTCCCGCTTCTGCACCAGCGGCTCCAGGTCGTCGTGGTGCGTAATGGGCGTGGTACCTAATTGGAATTCCTTGATGTCCTCGTACACCGGCGTATTGTACACCCGCTCCAAGTGCTCCACGGGTTCCACGCGGCGCACCCCCTTGGTATCCTCCACGAGGTGAATGCGCGGCTCACCACCGCGCGGCGGCTCCAATTTCCTCCAGAAATCACTGTACATGATGACGATCATAGGATGATTGACGCCCAACAGACCCAGCGACGTGATGGGCTGATCGATCCGGTCGTTGTCGAAGACGATGAGATCTTTGGGGATCCCGTCGTAGATCATCAGGACTAATAGTTTCAGCAGCTCCTCCGGCGTCCATCCGCGCAGTCCAATGGAATCCACGAACCCGTTGACGTGCAGGATCTCCACCGTACCATCGGAACGCGACTGTTTCGGCTTGGATCCTTTGTTCAGCAACCACAAGAAGGTGCTTTTCCCCAGTCCTTTCGGACCGAACAGTAACAGGGAATTCGTCTGCCGAATCGCCAAATTTAAGCTGTTGACAAAAGCGATTTTCTGCTCCCGGTCTTTAATTAATGAAGTTCGTCCGTGACCTTTTTTAGCTCCTGCTGACTCTCCTCGATCGTCTGCGTTAATTCCAACAATCGTGCCTCGTGACGTTGCTGCTCGTCCTGGCGTTCGCGGTCCCGCTGTTCCTGTTCGCGCTGGAAATCCTGCACTAGACGCTCACGTTCCGTCGCGCTGGCATTCTTTAGCTCTTCGAAGCGCTGCTGGAAGAGCTCGTTGTCACGCTGGCGTTCTGCTTGATATGCCTGTTCGCGGCGCTTCATCGCTTCTTCTAAGGGAAGCGTAATGGCACCCACATTCACCGGCCTCGCGTTCCGTCCACTCATGATTGACCTAAGCGCCTCGATGGCTACGGGAAGTATTAATGGAAGTAGTTTGTCCATGCAGACATTATATTTACACTGACGGCTTGTAGATTGTACGAGCGGTACAGCGGTTGTGCATTACACGGTTGGTAGATTTTATACTGTAACGTTAATGCGGCGATGCGTGGCCTGTTATCGCCATGCCGCTGATAATTCCGTATAATTCAAGCATGAGTCACGCTTGGTGTCAAGTGCCAACATCCATTCTGTTGATTGCAGATGATAACATTCCGGCACAGAGTTAGTTCACACAGGCTTGGCTAATCTCCGTGCGAACTGTGCCTTCTGTGGCAAATAATGGTAAAGCGTACCTCATGCTCGAAGCAGGCGTACTTTGATAGTTTGATTCGCTTCGTCAACACTTGTAGTTGGCAGAAAGACCAGTGTCCATTTAGCGCCGTTTGCACGTTACAGTACATAAGGAAATGAGCTGGGATACAAGTACACCTGGTATATGCGTTAAAAGCTTTTTTGAAGATCTTGATTCATCAAATATGTATGCTCGTTTGCTCCAGCCGGCAAATACGCGCAAAACCGGACACGTTACTGTATCAGTTATATAATTAAATGGTTCACAAATGTGATGTTAACAACTTAAGACGATAATGACATTATTTATTTAATATATCTTTTACATCATCTTTTACAACAGCAGCCAATTTCTTTCGTAAGCCATAGGTAACGGCCGAATCCCGGCGTCCTCCCGCTTCTGCACCAGCAGCTCCAGGTCGTCGTGGTGCGTGATGGGCGTGGTACCTAACTGGAACTCCTTGATGTCCTCGTACACCGGCGTATTGTACACCCGCTCCAAGTGCTCCACGCCCTCGTACGCGCCCTCGTACGCGTCAGATCGACAGTATAAAACTAACTTTGCCGGTGCTACTCAGTCATATAGACTATAGAGCATCCGGTAGTAATCAAAATAGCGAAAGGTGCAGCACACTGTTTGACAGTTAAAATTTGCAATTGGTCGTCGACAAGACAAAAATCTTTGTCCTTGCGTGGGTTAAAACAGCGACGTACTCAGTACAGTCCTGGCATTTGTCCGTCATAACATTAGCTACCAAACTAAACCGTTGCTTAAGAGACGCGTGCAAAACATGTAGATAGTGCTACTCAAGACAGCTCACAAATTTTTCGGAGCAGAACATGTAACGGTACCCCTAAAATCGGACCGAAAACACCCATCGTTTCAAACATTAAACGACGAAAAGGAATCAATTTCGGTTTTGTATTGAGGAGCAATTCCGTCGCTTCGCGATTTAACTTTTCTGCCAGGTGGGCCAGTGCTGCGCTACCTGGTCTTCCAGGCAAACAACATACCGCTGGACCTGCGTGTTACAATGCAAGAACGATTTCACCCATGCACACCTTGCGGAAAGGCATCCACGGGAAATATTTCAAGAAGCTTAAAGTTTCAGCAAAATTACGGGCCTCGCATACCTGCTCCTTTTCTTCCACACGATTGCGTTAAGTCCCCACAAGTTTCGCACGCTATCGGCGCAAATTAGCATCGGTCGCAGAGCGTTCTGCATCAATGCTCTCTGCCAAGAATATTTGCACAATTGATAACTGAGCATGCGACAATTTATCTCGTTTGCCAAGGCCAGAGTCCAGCAGTGAACGGGGCAAACCCGTGTGAATCAACAGCCTGCCCAAATGTTAGCGTAATCGCGGCGTCACTTACGTTGTCTGTTATCGCGGCAACGCGATAAAGGCTCGCGCACGCCCTCGTACGCGTCAGATCGACAGTATAAAACTAACTTTGCCGGTGCTACACAGTCATATAGAGCATCCGTTCACTGTCCAATGACTTAAATTCACAGTCACTGATACTGTATTTCCTGTAGCGACCAACGCCTTTCTGTTCAGTCATGGGTAATTTGTTTGGCGGAGGGAGAGCACCGCCGCCCGTGAAGTTGATAGGTGCTTCCTTCACGCGTCCTCTGGAACAGGCCATGCAGCGCCGCGAACAGGAGTACCAGGCACAGCGCCAGCGCGATGAAGTGCTCTTCCAGGAGCGCCTTCAAGATCTGAAAAATGCCAACGCGGTGGACCGCGACCGTCTGCAGCAAGACTTCCAGCGCCAGCAAGAGCACCTCGACAAGGAACGGCAAGTCGAAAAGCGGCAATACGAGGCACAGCTCCTGGAACTGACGCAGACAATGAAGAACAATGAAGAGCGACTGAAAAAGGTCACCGATGAGCTGCAACTCCCTATCAAAGTGCGACAAGACAGAATCGCTTTTGTCAACCGGTTGAATTTGGCCATTTGGCAGACCAGTTCGCTGCTGCTACTGGGTCCGAAAGGAACCGGGAAGACCACCTTCTTATGGCTACTCAACAAGGTTCCCAAGCCGAAACCGTCACGCTCCGACGGGACGGTGGATATCGTGCATGTTGACGGGTTCGTGGATTCCATCGGACTGCGCGGATGGACGCCGGAGGAATTACTGAAGCTGCTGGTCTTGATGATCTACGAAGGAATCCCCAAGGACCTTATCGTCTTCGGCAATAGTGACCGCATCCAACTGCCCATCATGACGCTGGGTCTGTTGGGCGTCAACCATCCCATGATCGTCATTATGTCCAGTGATTTCTGGAGAAAGTTGGAGCCGAAGGACGATGATGACCAGCCGATTCACTTGGTGGAGGACCACAACGGGATACGTCGCGTGGAACCCGAGAAGCACTTGAAGCGTGTGTACAATATGTCGGTGTACGACGAAATCAGGGAATACCAATTGGGTACTACGCCCATCACGCACCACGACGACCTGGAACTGCTGGTGCAGAAGCGGGAGGACGCCGGGGTTAAGCCGTTTCAGTTCCTCATGGAAGGACTTGGCACGCATTTCCACGTGGAAATGGAGAACACGTCCACCATGGAAGCGCTCTTTCGCTTTATCTATATTTTCGAAACGAAGTACGTAAAGGACCGGCTGAAATTCATGAACCATGCGACGCTACAAGACTTCCAATAAGATTGCTAATTATTTTTCATCTTTGTGATTTTTGTTTGTATCTGCGTCTGACCGTTTATAATCGAGAAAATCCACTAGCAGAATCTTTTAGTACAGTAGCACGTTCCAATAAACCGAGATTTCGAGCGTTCAAACCGTTCTCGAAGCAATGTTTGCAAATATTTGACTACAGACACGCAGTATCACAATTCGACAAGGTGTTTAAAAAAGCGTAAACGGTAAAGGTACTTAACACTCGAGTTAATCAAGTTTGTCTGAAGAAGATGTGGCGGCCAATTAATTTGAATGTGGTATGTGCTACAGATGGATGACAATCAAGGCTCACAACAAGAAAAAAAGAATGACCTGTAATAATACGAAAAATTAGATACGCGTTCGGCTTGGGTATATATATATTCAATAATACGTTTAACAGCCCCTGTTACTTTTCGCGAGCTTCTAAGGGATAGGAACCCTTGCCTTACTTAACTAAAATAACCTTTAGCAGATTCTTTTCGATAATTACAACTGTGCATGTATACCTGTATTTCGGCGCCAATATACCGCATTACCATCCTTAACATGCACTGTGTCAGAGGTGAAGGCTCTGTACTCAGGACAGCCGCCCCATCCGCCGTCTACCTGGTTGTCTCAAGCTCAAGCACAAATATCTTGATCTCAGCCAACAACGGCGATGGCACAGTGGCTGTGCTACGTGCTCGGTAGCCAGCGGTTCGATTTCGCTCCGTCGCCAATTTTCAGAATTTTCTCAACAGGAAATTCTTTCGGACTTCATCTGGCCGCCCTCCCTTCGCTGTGATACCCATGGACAGCCGTGTTTATGGCCGCCTCTGACTACTGCAACTCTTCTTGAAAACAACGCTGTGCTCGAAGCACATATATTTACGCATCGAGCTGCCACTCGGGCAAAGACCCTTTCGCAAATATGTGTCGCAGCTGCGCTTTCGAATCATAACAAACGGCAAACAGAAGCCCCACCCAGTGTCGCCAGAGCACCGCACATCAAAGTTTCGCTTAAACCGTATGTGATGGATTGTACAGGAAGCCAGCTGAGCGGGATTAGTCAGCGTCTATCGGTGCCCTGCCTTGTTGCTTTCTTATCGTCACGCATTACACTGTATGACTGTCTCATGTTTTCATTCACGCGTTATCTCGCATGATATCGGCCAGCGCGCGATGCCTGTTTATAAGCACTACGTCAACTATGTCACAAGCACAAGCACAAGCACAAGCACAAGCACAAGCATAAGCACAAGCACTATAAGCACAAGCATAAGCATAAGCACAAGCACATTTATAAGCACAAGCACTATGTCAACACAAACATAAGTCTGTAGTGCTGACTGCATCACAACAGACGACGGTTCATTTTGCAGATGAACGTCGTTATTAGGGTTTTTTGTCGAAAATAGAAACGTTCCTACTGCTGTTCGATTAACATGGGTGGACGCAGTTCGCGACCGTCGGTGGACGTAGGCGCCATTATGCGCTCCCACGAAGAGGCCATGCAGCGCCGCGAACAGGAATACAGGGAGCAGCGAGATCGCGACACGAACCAGTTCAACCAGCGTTTCACCGACTTAACTAACGCCAACGCGGCCGAAAGCCAGCGTCAACAAGAGGAATTCCAACGCCAGCAACAACGCTGGGAGGCGGAACAACAAGCTGAAAAGACGCGCTACGAGGGCCGTATTCAAGATTTGGAGAAGAATATGCAGGAGCCGGAGCGTCAGCTGAACGACGTCCAGGAACAGCTCCGCCGACCGATTATTGACCGGGAAAACAAGGTGAATTTCGTTAACGGACTGCAACTCCAGATTAAGCAGACGGATTCGCTGCTGTTACTGGGACCGAAGGGAATGGGCAAGAGCACGTTTCTCTGGCTCCTTAATAAAGGTAACATGAACGTAATGTACCTCGTAATAATCATTACTCGTTAGTATTCTTACAGATTCGTGGCACAGAAGTTGCTTGACGAAACATATCGGTTTCATTATTTCCTATAACATAATTCGAGTCTGATATCAGCTAAGTACCGGTTAGATATCCGGTTAAACATCTGGTACATATAGTTTTCATCTCGGTTGATAAACAGCCGTTGTATTGGGTGCTTTTCGGTTGTTTATCTGTAAGATGGGGGGTATATATCGGTCACGAATTTTTTTATATTTGCAAAAGTCGGAAGCACAAATAGCATTCAATGCTTGCAGGTGCCAAACCGCATAAGACGACGACAGACGGAACCGTGGAAATCATACAAGTCAGCGGCTTCGTGGACTCCATCGGACTACGCGGGTGGACACCGGAGGAACTGCTTAAGCTACTCGTCCTAATGATCTACGAAGGAATTCCGCGGGATCTCATTATCTTCGGCAACGACCGCATCGATCTGCCCATCACGTCACTAGGTTTGTTGGGTGTCAACAACCCGATGATCGTCATCATGTCCAGCGATTTCTGGCGGAATCTCGAACCGGTCAACGGCGGTCGGCAGCGCATCCATTTAGTGGAGAACGAGCAAAAGGTGCGGCGCGTACAGCCAGTGGAGGATCTGGATTTGGTGTACAATCTGCCGGTGTACGAGGACATCCAGCAGTTCCATCTGGGCACGCCCATCACGCACCACGATAATATCGAGTTGCTGGTCAACAAACGCCGCGAAGCCGGGATTCGGCCCTTCCAGTTTTTGATGGATAGACTCGGTGCAGTGTTCAAGGTCGGCATGGAGAACGAAGCTAACACGGAGGCACTGTTCCGGTTTATCTATCTTTTCGAAACCAAGTATAACAAGGACCGACTGCGGTTCATGAACTTTGCATCGCTACAAGAGTTCGCGTAGCGCTTGTAAAATGACACATTTTCAGTTGATGTTTATTGGGCAAAGGCCATCAGTGTTACAAAAAGTGCATTCGCGTAATACTTTTCAGTTGTTTCCTTATGTTTCCTTTCTTATACAATGTTCAGAAAAAAAACAGTTTTCGTCTAGCAGAAAATAATAAATGTACTGATGCATTATACTAATCGTAATAGATCAATAATAAGCCGAAAAAGGTCACGCAGTGGCTATCCGAAATACAGCGCAATTATTCTAGAAAGTATCACCAATGCCATTACTGTACTTGTGGCTTCGCTTATTTATAAGCGCGAATGGCCCCAGCTTGTCCTGCCACTGGTCTTCGGTATCATCATCAGTTAGGGCGGTCCTAAAATAAAGGGGGGAAAACCATGTCAGTCGAACCAATTCACGGCACTGCTGCCGTCATCCGGCTGGAGTGTGACGTTACGGCAGTACATGCGGCTAAATCAGGCGCGGTACATAAGCACCATGTTTAGCCACAACGTAAAACTCCAGCCGGCTGACGGCAGCAGTACAGGGGAATGGTTCGGCTAGACTGCTTTTTCCCCCTATATATCTGTAGACACTGAACCTTCGTTATTCCGCTTTCACAAGACTTGATCATGGTAGACGCAACATCATCGAAACGAAAGTTAACTGCGGCCCTTGTGCCTAATCGTAAATTTGTAATTATCGCTAAAAAAAGGAAATACTCGTAATGAAAAAATGAAAAACATACTCGTAATTAGCGACGCTAACTGCGAGTTTGTTTTTCATTCGGCACAATACAATTCAGTACTCACTTGTCGTACATTTGACTCAGTGAAAGGTGATGAAGTGTCGGTCGGGCGAAATCATTGTGTACGGAATCTTTTTCTAATCTGATTTTGTTTAATTGCAATATGCACACATCGAGCATCGAGCAAATACTTGGTACAATCAAATGAAGAATCTGCCCCAATTAACATGAGATAACCTGCTGGTCCGGAAAATATTGCTGTTACAGCCAGTATGCAGTTAGCGCCCATACAAAAAGTAATACTAACACGTAATACTAAAGTAATCAAGCAAAGCAAGAATAAGTAAGTCATTAATTTCGACACAAACAAAGCCAGCGAAAGAGTTAAGACAGCAGTTTGTGATTGACGGTGAGAGTGACACAGGTCGACACCGGCGAGGAGCGGGCGCCGGGACCCTCCGTCGGGCGCGCACTGCTCCACCGATTCACCGTGGCATCGTACACCTCCATCGCGGTCAGCGGCACCCCGTCGCGGCTGCACCCACCGCACACGTACAGCTTGTCGTCCAGCGCGAACATGCAGTGTCCGTAGCGCGGCACGGCCAGGTCCGGCAGGCGCTGCCACTGGGCGCCGGTCACGCCCAGCTGCAGCCGCTCGCAGCTGCTGCGGACAGCCGATCCCAGGCCCACGCCGCCCGTCACGTACAGGTAGCCGTTGAACACTTTGGCGGCAAAACTGCAGCGCGGACTGAACATGGCCGGCAGCTCGCTCCACTGGTCCGTCGCCGCGTCGTACATGTCGCCGGTGGCCAGGACGGAACGGTTGCGCCCCTTGGCTGGGTATCCGCCCAAAATGATGAAGTAGTGGTGCCACACATCGAAGGCTGCCTCTTTTCTGTACGATCACGGCAAGAAAGCGTAAAAAAATAAGACGTAAGAAAACACAATAAGAAAAAAATAAACAGACATAAGAAGGCCTATTAAGGCCCAGTAAAACACAAAAAGGCATGAGAAAACGTAAGAAAGCCTAAAAAAATATAAATGAAATAAGAACACTTAAAAAGACTTAAAAAAACATATTAAGACGCATACAGAAACGTCAGAAACCTAAGAAGACGCAAGAAAACACAAGAAAGCATATAGAAACGTAAGAAAACCTAAGAAGACATAAGAAAACATAAGAAAGCATATAGAAACGTAAGAAAACCTAAGAAGACATAAGAAAGCATATAGAAACGTAAGAAAACCTAAGAAGACATAAGAAAACATAAGAGAAGATAAGAAGACGTAAGAAAACGTAAAAGAAATACGCGTAAGAAGACCCAAGACGACTTAAAAAGACAACAAACTTAATAAGACATAAGAAAGCATATGCAGGCATACGAAAATCCTAAGAATTAACTACTAGTAAGGAAAACTAAAACTCGACTTCGTGACAGGCGGACACTTGTCTGTTCGACGTAATGGTGGTCGACAAAGTTGTGTATGCGATAAGACGTAACACCAATTGATTCCAGCGGCGTCTACCCACCTACCTAATGCGTTTAGGGCTGCGGACGTCCTGCTTGAAATGGCGCGAAGCGGGATCGAAGGTATAGGAGACCGCGCTCTTGGTCGCCCCCGTGTTCCAGCCGAAGACTAACCCGTTGAGACTAACCAGTGGCGAGCCGGCGCCCACCGTCATCTCCTCGCACACATACTCCATCTCCGTCTTGGCCAGGTCGTCGTCCATCACCAACGCGTACGTCCGCAGCTGGGATCCGTGCTCAATGCGGAACCACACCCGGTTGTTGACCACCGGGCCCATCTCCTTCAACGTGTTCCACGTCTGCAGTTCGGTCGGCAGCTTGACGGGGTACAGTTTGTTCTGGCGCGCGTCGTACAGACGCAGACTGGTTTGATGGCGGTCGGCGAAGAACAGGCAGGCTACTTGGGTGACGTGGCGTTCCCGGGGCGTGGCGGTCAGACGGGGGAGGCCTGGTGGGAAGAGGCGGGTCTGCAGGTCCAGGAGGACGTCGCGGAGTGGTCCGGTGGCGGTGAGGATGGCCAGAGGGAGCACGCCGGGCAGCAGATCCCAGCGGAGCTCCGGGAGGACCGCTTGCAGGATCTCCGCCGTCCAGCGCGCCGGATAGTCCACGTGACACCAGATCATCACTCTCTATAACGCATTGTACCAAGAACGGTCAATGTCCAGGACAAACTGGTTCTGCTTTTCACCAATAACCACTCAATATATATTTTTGCTTTTTTGGATTTTTAACCAGGGCACATTCCGCGGGGAAAAAAATCGGAAAAATTACGAATGTTTTTGTACAGGAATACATTATGGTTGAAAATGTTTTTCCGTGCAAAGGTCAGCCGTTCTTTGTTCTCTCGTTTACATGTAAGTAAGTACAGTTACTACAATACATACTCGTAGTTGCACAACCGGCTATAACTGCAAAATCAAACTATGAAAAAGAAGGGAAAACTTGAGGTTTTTCAAATTATTTTTACACTGTGTGTTGATTTTATTAATGGATTTTTGAACTGCGGGCCAGGCTGGCCGGTTTCTTCGTTTTCGGTTTTACGGACCTTAAACAAACTTACACCTCTAGAGTAACCATTTTATCTTCAGTTGGGGCGTTGAAGGACAAATAAAGATTTTTACAGGTGTGAACGCCGGGCCTCTGGGCCACGGTGAACAGTTTGTCGGCATTCTGAAATCCTCAGCCGTAACTGCCAGTGCTTTACAACTATGCATAAGATAAAAGCGTTGATAATTTATTCCCGCGCAAGGTGCCATGGTTACAGTCTTTTTGGCTATCGAACTACCGTAGTTCTTTTTTGGCATGCGACCTTACCTGATACACCTCCATTTCCGAGGAGACCGGCAGGAAATTCTGCCGCATCATGGCCAGCAGTTCGGCCAAGGACAGATGCGTATACGCCATCATGGGATCGGCCGGCGGCGGATTGCTTTGGGAGACATTTCCGAGCGGTTTAGCAGCCGTGCTGGATGCGGGTGGCGCGGCAGCCGGTGGTGACACTCCTACATATCATACTTTTTAATGTTTCTCAGGTTTTCGTAGTTGTCGACCTCGTTCCGGTCGACCTCGTTCCGGTCGACCTTGTGACGGCCGACACGATGTTAGTCGACATATTACGGTAATGGGCTAGGAAATTCACTGCTGACCGGGTGAGTCTGTAAGTGCTTACCGTTCGACGGGACCGACGGTGTCGTAACTGTCTTGATGGCCTGGGTCGCCTGGCACGCCGTGGATGCGGTTTGTCTCGCCGCTTCTACACGCACAAATCACTTGATTAGCCAGCAATCTATTCTGCAACGGTCTAAGGATCATCTACCCATTTGTTTCCTTTGCGAAACTAGTAACAACACACAACTATTATGTGCAATTTACAGGAAAATTTATATGTAAATGCTTTTTTAATGTTTGCTGTCTGTTCCGTGAACTGAATATTATCGATTAAAATTAAATTATTCGAAAACACTGTATCTGTGAAGTAGATCAATATCAGCAGAAGTACTAGTAATTTATCAGAATTTCATTAATTAGTACTCAGTATGGCTGTCGAACAGGTGAATATGTTCGTACTATGCACCACGATAGCCATGAGTGTGCTAAGTGTATGTTCCAAATCATGCGAACTGGCCAACTGGTACCAGCTCGGAAGTTTCGAAAAGTCCGTTCGGACTACAGTCAAAAAATGCAGAAAATAAATTATTTTGGAAAAAACGAAAGTGTTTAGATAACAAAATCTAGTTGTGTCAACGAAGTATGTACGCTTTTTGCGTTTAGTGCATATAATTCCTCTACTCTATAGCTACTCTCCTAGCTCCTAGCTCCTAAATTTCTCCTAGCTCCTAAATTTCCTACCTCCTAGCTCCTAAATTTCTCCTAGCTCCTAAATTTCTCCTAGCTACTCTATAGCTAGGAGAAATTTACCTGGATGGTCGGATGCTTGGTTGCTTTAAATTCTCTACTTGCAAACCATGTATTTCCCAAAATTTCCATACCATGCAAACCATGTATTTTCATGCAAACCATGTATTTCCATGCAAACCATGTATTTCCATGCAAACCATGTATTTCCCAAAATAAATTTTTTCTACACTTTTTTTGGTTACCGCACGAACGGATTCAACGCAGTTATGCAGTTAAGGATTTTGGTGAGCTATCGAACCTGCAAGAGATTCCCAGGTAGCAAAAACCTGGAACATACTTAGCACACGCATTTTCCAAGCCGAATTTGTTTCCAAAAAGTTGTCCTGGCCGAGTATTATTTTTTTGCAAGGGTAAGCAGGCAACCCATTAAGGACATAATATGAGCAACTCACTGTCGACCGCATCCTGCCCCTGCAGTGTGACAGGCAGGGGAATCTTGAAGAAGGCCGCGGCCGCTTGCAGCTGGCTGCCCGTGCTGCCGATCCCCTTGCCCTGGACGCTAGCATCCAGCGGCAGACGGGGGTTCAAGACTCCCTGCAGGACGAGATGCGCCGCCCAGGGATCGATGTGCGCCGGCAGCGCGACATGGCACTCGTGATCCTGACGGTGACACGGCAGCCCCAAGGCCTCCACCTTCGACCAGGGACTGTACAGGACAAACTCCCCCGTTACCACGGCTACCAGTTGCGGTGGCGGGCGCTGCTCCGGCTCCCCGCCGCTGACGCTGGCGCCAGCGCCAGGACCCGAGTCGGGCTTGATGCAGACGCTCTTGGCTGGGCTGTCACCAGCGTCCTCCGCTTTCCGCTTCCCAGCACTCTCCGCAACCGATCCCATTCCAGTTTCCATTAGAATTACCCGCGTCCGCTACAACAACAACATAAACATGTTACATGACTAATGGAGCGATGAATTCGAATTGTTTTCCTTTCTGATACGAGACCGACAAGTGCCCCAGAATTTCGTCCTTCGGTTGACAGTCATTTCGTCCTGGTTTTTTCCCCGAACTGGAACACTAGAAATTCTTTTTATACCTTTCACAGTTCAATCATCCATAGATGTCTTTATAAAGTAAAGGCTTTGTGTTACTGACTTCTATTTTTATGGACGGAATTCTGTTCTATAAATTCACACGGAGAGGAAACGATGTGACTGCAGTCTGCACTCTGCAGTGTAGCTTGCTGTTCAATGCAGCCTATGATAGAGGCGTGGTGGAGACAGGGGATTGGCTAGAGCGCCAGCTGTCGGCTGCACTGTGAGCGCGGAGTCTTTGTGAAGAATTTTATAATAAGCGCGGTCGTTTTGACGGTAATTAACCGTGCATACGCCGGCCGGCAGCGCACACCCTTCTCTGTGCCGCTGCCATGGACACAGTCCGTTTGAACTTTGCACTACAATCATAACTGAGTAATTAATCTATCCGGTTGTGCTCTGTTTTGGTCTGTACGGTCAAATGAAAAGTCATTATTGCTTGCACCTGCAATATTTTGCAAACAGTAACAACCAACAGTACGCTTTCGCAGTCAAGAAACTTGTACAACATATCTGTATCTTCGCATTCCGGACATGTTGTTCCATATGAAAAACCTTTTTAAAAAACTTTTTTAAAATTAACTAGAAGACAATCATTAGCTTGGTAAAGAAGCTTAGACATGTAATTTTTTAAAAAATTAACAAGAAAATAAAAATTTAGCAAACTCAAGATTAACAGAAAACATCACGAAATTATTCCAGAATATCGCGGATCGAGGATTGTATTTTTCTGCTGTCCGGAAATGCGGGGATACATTGCACAAGTGTCCTGAATTTTAAAATCTCCTAGTATATTTTTTTCAGTGAGCACAATTCGTCGCGCTTGCAAAATCACTGATTATTTTACATTGAGACGAAGTGTGCCAATGAAAAAATTATGTTTAACCAAGCGGTGGAGGTGTGGAATCTGTAAATTTCTCCTGACCAGTGAACACCCTACATTATTAAAAAAACAGGTTGCTGTCGAATGGTGGCCCGCAACATATATTTACAGCCAACATATCTGTACAATGTAAACCGCATCAAATTAATCAGCCGGCATAAATATCTCGTGAACATTATTAGCGCCTCGTAGAATTATATTCGCCGTATTAATCGCATATACCGGTTGGCGCGTAACAGCTACAACACGATGCAAATATTAGCACAGCGCATGTAATCCGGCTAATCCAGCAGGAAACGCTGGCCGCCGCCGTAATGGATTGCCGGCCGATCAATCCCGATTAACGGCATTTAAGGGGGCGGACATGTACTGTCATGTTAACATGTACTATGCTAACACCGTACCTGTTCCGCACAACAATGGTGAGTTGCTCCACTGACTTACATTTTCGCTATCCTAACATTTAAGTTCATCAGTTCCTAACGCGCCGGCCACCAGCGCTGTAATTTTTTCCATCATAGATTCGCATAATCATAATTTTTATAGGTTAACCTTTTAACCCGACCATTAAAAAGTGCTTCCAGTTATCACATCTGTGTGGCATAGAACAGTTTAGCGGTTAAGCTGAGCGTAATTCTGCCGAACAACAAGGAAGCATCAAGATACCGTCGCAGATTTGGCAGCTATTCTATAAAATCATCCACGATGGAAATACCTTGCTTGCTACTTATAACCGCGTATATAATACTCGCCACCGACGCGGCAAAAAGCCCCACGATCCCGCCCAAGTCCCCCATCAAAACCAAACCCCCGACGACGAAAAAGCCGGCCACGGGAATTACGGCGAAGATCGCGGATGACCTTTTAACCACCCAGTCCACCACCGTCAATGAGATGACCTATCCGCGGCGCACCTGTGTCTGCGATATCGGGATCATCAATCACGTGATGCTGATGCCGGTGCACGAGAAATCGCGGCCGTTGAAGAACTGCGCGGTGGCCGTGGAGTACTGCAAGCAAATGTGCGTGCCGGCGGTGGTGCGGCAGATTCTGGGCTTCCGGGGATCGGTCAATGGGAAGGATGAATTGAAGGATGTCCCGCTGTCGATTAAGCCGTTTTGGGAGGCACACCGGACGCTCGGCGAGGCGCTATGCCAAAGGTAAACTGCAAATGTTGTATTTAATTGTACATATAACTCTCGACGCAAGCCCTGTACCTGCCTTTAAATTCCTACTCAAATCTGTTGATCTGCCCCAGGTATTTACGTTAGCGTTAAAATTGTTTTTGTTCGACCAGAGCAGACTCGAAGTTCCTTTGGGGCTATCTGCTCTTGTGCCGTAATAATAATAATAATAATTATTATAACGTTTTATATAAATATTTTATAAAATTCATATATTAAGTAATTTTTAAATGCGAGGGTCAAAATTATTAAAAACAAATATAAATATTGGTACGAGTAATATATGGCAGCGAGATGGTTAGTACCGGTTGGTGTAGATATAGCTTTCAATCATTCTGCTGCATGCGCTCCGAATGGTTTGGAAATGGATTGCATGTAAAAGCCTAACATACAGTAAATTCTGGGTACAGCGTAGTACAAGGGCTCTGCAAATTTTCATCGTTTTATCCCATCGTGTCCTATGCAGCAGTCCAGGAGACCTGGTAATACAGTTACTGTTAAACGTTTACGGTTGTTAACTTTTTGAAGATTTTTCCTTTTTAACTTCTTTGCAATCGATAATTAAACTGTGCATACAATGATACAAACAGAAAATGCCTAAATATACCTCTATAGCAAAAAGGTTTTTATATTAATAAAATAGGCTAATGGGCAGAATGCACCGTGTGTGCCGCACACTTTTACCTTGGTAGGAGATTTTACAAAATCGTCGAAATGTACTAGGCATTAGGTAGGTACATCGCTAAAAAGAATAATTTTAGTTAGAGGGAATATTTATGAGCCTGCTGTGGACCTATAGTTATAACAACCCAACAGAATCCTTTAAACATCGTGAATTACTGATTTTTGCAGTCTGGGAAAGGAAACCGGGAAACCGTTGGAATTAGCGGTGTACGCGCAAGCCAAGAGCTGCGGCCGGCGCATCCAGGCCGTCAACGGGACCTTCCCGGACCGATTATGCTGCCAACTGGACGGCGAGGTCTTCCGCTCCAGCGTGTGTCCCGAACCAATCACCGAACGCACCCTCCCGACCACCGTACCCACCACCACCCTCCTCCCGACCACGCCCCTCACCTCCAAGGTCACCCATAAGAAGAAGGGGTCAAGGACGCGCGGCCTGACCGTCCCGACCACCTCCCGCCGGCGGACGACCACCACGACGACGCCGGTGACCTCGACGATGGCCGAGCCGGGTCCGGAAGAGGCGGAGGGGGATAGTCCGCCTGGTTCCGGGAGTCCGGTGGGGGGAGGGGGGCGGGACATGATGCCGGAGCCCAGTGAGCTGCGATCGCGGACGGCGCTGCAGTTTAGACGGTTTATGCATATGCTCCGTAGTCCGGCTATATGATTGCCGGTTTAATAATACTTAAGTTATTCGATTGAACTGGGCTCATTTTTTCTCCGTTGAAACTTGAAACCGACTGTTTATTAACTGGTTATTATGAGGTTTTTGTACTGTTCTCGTACGTGATGTATGAGCAAGGTTGTGCGTCACTTTCGCTACTTAAGTTTTCCATTTTATTTTATTACTTTCTAAGTTTCGCATAATTATAGCTTAAATTATGTAGCATATGTTATCTGATTTTTTACTTCGAAAATTATGTACATTTTTTGTGTTTTTGCATGTTATTATTGCTCGATTGGTTGTGCTTGCAAATATATACCGGTATCGTGGTATCAACAGCGAAACAACCACGAAACAATGCCCAGCGATAGATGGTTGTGTATACCTGATTTAACACAAATAAACGAAAAATGATAATTATAATAATAGAAAAATAATAACAAAAACTACAAATGAACGAAGTAATACATAATAAAATATTCAATATTAATATAATATTATAATGACTGTTGAAGAATCGATAAAACGATGAAAAATGTCATATTAACAAATTTTTTTGCAAATAAATAAATAGATGGAAGAATCATAAATCAAGTTTGGAAAAACATCTGTTGCTTTCGGGAAACATCGAAATCCTGGGCAAATGACGCGGCGGTGCATTTAACTGTAGCTGGTGAGATATCGCGAATCGTAGTGCAGTGGTTTGCCGGGCGACTGATCGACTTCTGGGCAAAACAAATTTTCCTACACCTGCAGACACTGGCGAAGTTTTAAATCAATAATACATTTTTTAGCATATCGTAAATCGAAATTTTTTTATTAATAATGTCTTCTCATCCAGTTTTTTTGCTCTTCGCTCCGAAAATAAAAAAACCCAACCACTTGCCGCCTCCGTAATCCGCAAAGCAAGTGGTGTTATTAATCTATCCAATACAGTTTGTACAAACACGAAAAAAGAATTTTCTATTGGTCGCTTGTAAATTAAGCCGCCAATAATAACAACAAAAAGAGTAAGTAAAAATTAAAAATTAAATAGCAAAACAATGAACAATGAAAAAACAAATAAAATAATGAAAAATGAAACACTAATACTATTTTCTGCGTCTTAAAACAGGTAAATAGAGGAAGAATATTCAATGGACAACAGCGTGAAAAGTCATCAATAACTCGAAATTTCGAAATTTATGGCAAATGACAAGGCGGCACATACAGTACTACAACTGTAGATACAGAAATCGCGAATCGTAGTGTAGTGGTTTGTTTAATCACGGGAGCATGCGGAAACGAATTTCCTTTGGCTTTAATGACAGACGCGAAATTTTAAATAAAAAATTCTCCAAATTGTTGATCATATCGTAACAAAATTTTTTATTATGAAAACCAACAAAAACAAAGCAGAAGTGTTCGTCAATCTGGCCGATCTTCTCTTCCTGTTTTTCTGCTCTTCAAAATAAAAAACCAACCACTTGCTGCCTCTGTAGCCCGCAAAGCAAGTGGCGTTATTCTATCCAATAGCAATTGCACAAACAAGGAACAAGAATTTCCTATTGGCTGTACGTGGAGTAATCCGCCAATAGAAACCGTCGCAGGCGGGATTATGTTCAGCATGTACAAAAAGCGTGTAAACTCGTACTCGTGCCTCGCGGCCTTCTGAAAAGCCATGCTGCCACAGCAGCAGCACAAGTGCACGTTTGAAAGTCAGAGAAAATATGTCTTCCAAAGAAATCCATCCGTAAATCCAACCAGAGAACAATGCTGTGCATTCACCACGGCGAGCCGCGTTTCATTTCCCGTTCCTTTCAGCTGGCATTGCACCCGTTGAGCCACGGAGGAGGAAAATAATCACAGTGGCAAAGCTTTGGCATAGCGTTGCTGGCTAATCCGTTTCATGTTCCAACATGCTTTGTCCCTGCCTTATTCTGAACGGCGATTCGGCGTTTCCGCCGCGGAAATGACGGATCCCATTGCGAATTAATTTTCTCCCGTTCTTTATCTTGTTGATTTGCGTTGTTGTGTTGTTCTGGATTGGATTGCAGTTGCCTTCGTTGCGCCATGGAGTCCGGGAATCATGACGACATCACCGTCATGTTCGTCACGGCCAATGTCGGGACTTTATTCGAAATGGTAAGAAAAATGCTCCCTCTTTATTTTTAAAATTTTCGCAAAGTGAGAAAATATTTTTGGGATGTGGAATAGTCGGGTAAAGTCCGGATAGCGGAAATAGGTGGTCGATTTCAGTGGAATTTTGGCAGGAATTGTTGATTGGCCGGCGCAGGGAGTCAGTTCCCGGTTGTGCCGATGGCGTGTAGGCTTAGTCATACAGGGAAACGGGTACGGTGGTGCGTGTTAAATTCGTGTTACGGTTCAATTGGCATTTTTTTCATCCGTTTGGCGAATTGACGTGGTTTTGGCCTTGGGGCACATTACGGCTGAAAGAATATTTTCGTCGGATGTCCCATAAAAAAAAGCCGGTTTACCGAATTTCGTGTATGGCTTACAGCGACGTGCGAACCGTCTTTTGGGGAGACATACGCCGGTCTCAATGGAAATTATGAGAACAATTGTTACGGAAAAATGCGAAAAATAGCGAATAATTTTTCGGAAGGCAGTAATGAGTAAACTGTAAAATAATCCGAAAAATTTTATTTGGGAAATTTAAGTTTGCCGTAACTGATGAGGTTTTTAGAAAATATGTAAAAATATTCTTACAGTGCTGTTTGTACGGACAAAGTTTTAATTTAACTTGTGATTTTTAAATTATTCGAAGGCGAATTTAGTCTACGTACGGAATTTTGCTGAAAAAAATTATTCGGTATTAGTTTTCACAGATTTTTCTCTCTGAATTTAATCTAGTATTTTCATTAATGTTTTTGACAATTATTGATATCTTTGGAACAAGAAAATGCTCAATAATAATAAAAAGTATGTGTGCATATGATTTATTGCTGTTTTACTGGTGCGAACAATATTGTCTCTCACAACTGGCAACAGATTTTTGTTTATAAAAATGTAGCATCAAATGAATATTTGAATGGGTACAAAGTAATAACAAATTTATTATATATATTCATGGGCAGCAAAAACGGATAGAACATGTAGTAGAAGCTATATTTCTTTGTACCGTTTTGAGGATTGCATGGAGACGATGGAGTTGCTTCGTAGTAGAGTGGCTAGCAGATTGTCATACTTGTAAATGTGTACAAACTGCCAGTAGATGTCCTGCTGGGAATGTTTATATAAAAATTGGCTTGTCGTCGTGACTAACTTTTTTGTTGGTTTTTCTAACTCACACTGCCGCTGATGGCCGATGCCGGTGTTTTATCGACTAAACCCACTAAAGTTGAAAACGTTCGGATTATTACGTCAGTTGTAACAGATCCTGCTTGCAGGCGGATGTGATGATGAATCTATGGATCAAAGAGTTTATCCAGGTACGCTCCATCGGAGAGTTGCGTGCGCTTCTCTTCGCCGCTACACGAAATGTTGGAAAAATAGTAGCGTTGCTGTTGCAGGAAAAATAGGAAAAATAGTAGCGTTGCCCTTTTTTTTCATCGAAAATTAAAATTAGAAATTAAAAAAGTAAGTAGAAAGAACAAGCAAAAAATTATAAGAAAATTTAAAAAAATATTATTCTGTTTCTAAAAATGAGAAAATGAATAATAATCAAATAAACAAATTGCTGTACGAGCAAAAATTAGCCAAAAATTTATTTTAGTGTTACAAATTAAGAAAGTATATAAGAAAACAAAATAAAAATTAAAAGAAAATTAATCGAAACTTGTTTTATTGATGGTGGTGTTTTTGGCACATCGCTTGCGTATGAAAATCTATAAACTGAAATTTTAAAAATGAACATAAATAGAAAAAATGCGAAAAAATAAACACATAAAGAAAATGTGAGGAAAATGTATTTTGTTGATGATTGGTGTGTGGTGGCAGGCGGTGGCGTTGCGGCGGCCGCAGCTGATCGCGCTGCACTGCCAGGAGCTGGGCGGCAAGAAGGCCACGCGGACGACGATGGAGCAGACCAGCCAGTTCGCGAGGTGTGTCACGGCGTGACCGCTGGCGTTGTATTTTCGATAAAATATTAATTCTCCGCCGTCGTCGCTTGCAGGCAGCTGCTGGAGCGCGCCGAGTTGGCCGAGTACGACCGGGTGCGCATCTTCCTCGACGAGAACTTCCGCAGCATGGACACCTTCACGGTCAGCACATTTAATTACAATTAATTACTGTAATAGAAAAACCATAGAAATAATTTCTAAAAATTTAAAAAAAGCCGGCCTCAATTGCAAAAAAAATGTAGGTAAATTTTGAGAGCATTTTATTATAAATCTGCAGAATGGGAATAGAATTAATAATATTAATAAGAAATAATAAAAAAGAATATCGAATAACGTTGCGCATTGAAATTGAATTCAAATTATTGTTGATTTTTTTGTAGTTAAAATAGAATTTTTTTGTAGTTAAAGTAGAAGTGTTAAAATGGAAAATAGGTATTTTTTAAAAAAATTTAAATGATTTTTACACCATAAATCAGATTTAGTTTTTATAATTTCTCCAATAAATTTTCTGAAAATGTAACCTTGAGATTATAAATCAGCATTTTTAAATTGGTAATTTTGTTATTAAAAATTCGCCCGATGATTTTTCGCCGGTATATCGTCCCATATAAAAAGTCGCTCATTTTTGGTGACTGCAGTGTTTTCATTAGCCAGCTGCATTTAGATTGAATTACACGTCAATCGTCAGAATGCAAGAGTAATAAAAAAGCGCCTTGTTGTTGGTGTGTTGGGAACCGGCCACTTGTTGTTGCGGCGCGTGTTATTTTTAGCCGCGAAATTAAGTGGCAGTGCAGCCGGTTGTTTGGCGCTGCTGCGGCAAATGAAGCGCGTCCGCCGCATTGACGTCAGCAGCGGTGAGAAAAACGCACGTCCGAGACCTGAGTGGAGTGTGTTTTTTGCAGGCCCTGGGAAGCGCGTACTTTGCTCACCAGTCGCTGCGCACGGTGCAGCTGTGGGACTACGCCGGTAAGAAATTGATTTTTAATTGGAATATTCTCCGCTGATTTTGTTGCACAGTTTTTCATATTAAACATTCAGAACAATGTACATCCGAAAAAAGGGACAATTGCTTGAAAATATTTTTTTTAGCGGTTTCTATGCTTAATCGCTTTCTAAAATCTCTGTTAATTTGTTTGGTTTTTTTTAGATTTAGAAAATATTTCTGCGAAAAGGAAGAAAAGATTAATTTTGCGTTCCCGTATGTTGTGTTATAAAATTAGTTTTTAAATTAATGTCCGTTATCGTTTGGGCATTTTTTAAACTCAATAAATATTTTCGAGAAAGGAAAAAAATACTAATTTTACGCTGTCATCTACGGTGTTTTTGAATTGATTTTTAAAATCTCCCTTCGATTTTGTTTGGTTTTTTTTTTTAAATTCCGAAATATTTCCAATAAAAAGAAAAAAACATTAATTTTACTTTTCCGTCTACGGTGTTTTCTAAGTGGTTTTTAAAATTGATGTCCGTTATTTATTTGGGATTTTTTAAAATTCAGGAAATACTTCCGAGACGAGAGAAATTATTTTTAAAAATTTCCGTCCGGATTTTTAAATGGGTTTTTTTGTAATGCGCGACTAAATCCATTTATCGCCTGACTGCTGCCGGTGCAGCTGCGCGTGTGATTGACGACGTCTGCGTTTTGCAGTCGGGGATTACGTGGACGTCGTGGGGCGGGATGTAAGTATAATCCGGGATTGTATAGAGAAATGCCCCGGATCGCCGGGATACAATCATACAAACCGGCCATTATCCGCTTGGCTGATCCTGTTTGCAGATGATCCTCTTCGCGCCCGATGAACCGGCGCCCCCGCAGCACACATCCATCCACAAGGTCCGCTTCCCCATCGACCACCATCCGCTGGTGAGTACTTCCCGCCGTGTAATCGCTCTTCCCGGGGATTTGCGAGACAATTGACGGCCTTGACGTAGTGTAAGAGATTCCGCATATTCTCCATCTGATTTATGAATTTTATTTTTATTTTAATAATCGGTTACAATTTTTTAAATAATAAAATACAGTTCAAGAAAAAATAACGTATTTGTGAGACAACGGCGTTTTATCAGTTATTTCTTACATCAGACTTCAACCGAGCCAATGAACTTGCAGTGTCTTCAGTGTGGCCGTTACACTACAAAACTCCTGTACCTTTACAAAAGCGTGTTCACTCGATAATGCGTTTAATTTTTTTTATTTTTAAAGATATTCGAAAAATCCATTCGGAAAATAAAAATAAAAATATATTCGGAATATATTAAAACAATATTCAGAAAATTTTAACAAGTCGTTGTAGGACTTTCAGTATTCATTCCAAACGGTCTAAAATGTCAGCTCTAACGATATTTTGTAAAACAAATTTTTTTTTTTGCTTGATTTGTTTATTTTTTTCAGTGCAGTAGTGGTCGAATGTCAACGATGGGATAATAATAGTTAATAATTCTACAGTGAAAGACCTCCCGTTTATATAATTGCATGTTGGCTGCCTTGTCCGTGCGTTATCTATCATGTCGAAAACTGGTAAAAGCACGTCAGAGGCGCGGTAATTCACTGTAAACAGTTAACAATTACATTGTCCCTCCCTTCCGCCGGTTTCCGCCGGTGCCTGTGAGCTATGCACGCTGATTGCGTATTTCGCCGGTGTAATCATCGCCAGCCACTATCGCTGGCCGTTTTCGCCGGGAGATGTGGTGAAAATGCCTCCTTGAGATAGCGCTTGGCGTGACCGTGACAATAGTTGCGCTCGTGTGTGTGCGTGATATTTTGGCTGTTTTCTGCGCAGGCCAAAGGCAGTCGCAAGGGCTTCACGCGCACCCGCTGGCGGATTAACGGGACGCCGATGGATCTGGTCAATATCCATTTATTCTACGACGAGGACAATCTAGTCGCAATGGAAACGGTACGCAAAATGGATAAGAAAATTACTGGGAAAAAAATTACCCGATTTTATTTAGCCGGTCACCTTTCACACGAACAGGGAATATTTATTATTCCGTTTAATTTAGATGTACAAAATATTTTTCCCATTAAGCCTGCTTGTATTTTAATTTCTATTCGGTTGCTTCTAATTTTATCTATTTAGTTTCCATTAATTGCGTTTCTTATGAGACGATGTTTATTTAAGCACTGTTGTTTGATTTTTAGGAGTTGTTAGTATTTTTAAAAATTTGTTTGAGCATTTTTGTTTAGAAATTCTTTTCCTTAACTCCGGTAAAACTTTTTTTTATGAGAAGTATATTTTATTTGATTTTTGTCTGTTGTTTTTGTAAACGTGTTCCTGTAATTTGGATTCATTTTTAGGAAAATTTCGACTGAGAGTACTCGTATAGTTATTTCAATGTGTCGAATCGAAATTGATTTAATGAAGCAATTGATGTTATAAATTTATTTACAAGTTCTTTTCAGTTTTTCAAAATATTTACAAGAAAAGAAGAAACACTGATAAATGCCGTTCAGCGTTTTGGAATCATTTTGCCGTGTGTACAATGTAAATTCAGGATTTTGCATGCCCGATCGATTAATTGCATCGTTATCCGGGGCTGTTGTATTGGACGCCAGCTAACATTGCGACATTCAATTGAATTTACCAAGGAAATGGCAACATTTGGCTGAGCGTTGTTGTGCAATATTTGCAGAGCCCGTCGCAGTACACGGACGCGCGCGCCTGGGGCCTGCGCCACTGTATAGACTCGTAAGTGCTGCCTCTCATTTTCCCTCTCTTCCCCGCTTGTTCCCGATAATGGTGGGATTACTCGTGGTTGTATCACGCAGATTCCAAGCGGATGGGCCGGCCGGCGTGCCCTTCTTCATCTTCGGTGATTTCAACTTCCGGCTGGACGTCCACGATGTCGTGAAGGTGGGCCGACATTAAACATGATGGATCGAGGAATTAAAAGCTGATTTAATTCAGCCACAGTTGACAAAAGGATCACGCAGCTGTAATCCATTTTCCTAATAAATTAGCCTGTTATTCCTGTAATTTAAAATTTTTAAATTACAAACAACGAGTGAAATGATCATGCTGTTTTTATTATTTATTTACCAGATTAAATTGTCCATAATTCCTGTAATTTAAAAAATTGAAATTTAAAAATAATATTTTCAACGATCAAGCAGGTCTTTTTTTGACGTCCGCATACCGGCATTCAGTCAATTCGGGAACTTAATTTGGAATTAATTAGGTGCGCGAACGCGCGATTTTTATTGTTTTTATACTGACATAGGCGTTTGACAATTTCCATAATTTAATCTTCGGAAATTATAGCTTTAAGCGAACAGTTTCTGTAAAATTAGATACTAAATAATTTCTGTCATTTAATTTCGAAAAAAAACACGCGATCGCGGCCGTTGTACATGTTTCAATAGGCAGTGAATAATTTCCGTAATTAAATCTTGAATAAAAAATCCATTGCGGATGTTGTATTCGGTATTTTATTATTCAGAAATGATGTAAATAATTCCTTAATTTTAATGGTAAATTGAATTGGACGAAAATGGTAATGCAGTGCGTGTGTGTGCAGAAGCTGACGGAGAACGGGATCCGGCAGGATGTGCTGGTCAACGGCGTCGACCCGGCCGACACGACGCCGCCGCGCGCCCGCGTCTGCTTCGTGGAGAACGACGATCTGAACAAGGTGCGCCGGAATAAATCATGAATCAGCCGCTCTGTGCGTGACAATGCCGGGATTTTTGTAATTTTATCGGCAGTTGATCCTGACCATCGAGAAGAAGACCTTCGATCATCATGACAAGCACGACTACGTCTTTCAAGTCGACAACGGCAAATGGGTGCGCTCAATCAACACAACACTTTGTTTTTCCGAAGGGCGCGTTTGTTTAGCGGTTGAAGCACGCTCTGTTTGTAGTTGCGCAATTTCGACCATGAGCTGACGGATTTCGGGCCGGAGCTGACCGAGATGGAGATTAACTTCCCGCCCAGGTGACCGGTCGTTTTTTCAATTTTTTAAACATTATTTCGTATTATTTTTTAATTTTTTGGGCATTTATGTAATATTTGCTGCGGTATTTTATTCTGCATTATTTTATTGGACAGTTTAGTGACGGTTTATTTTTCGCTTGTTCAATTATTCATTAAATATTTTTTAAATTATTTACTAAACAAGTGATTGACAATTTCCGAATTACGTTTGTAATTATTTTTGGATATTTATTTCTTCGACAGTTTATTGATAATTTTTTCGGCGTGTATTCTTATTGTTTATGGAATTTTTATTTGTAAATTATTTACTGGATGATTTCTGGATGATCGCTTTAAAAATATTTTCAAAAACATTTATTGGTCGTTTATTTTTAGAATATTTATTGAAAAATGTCTGGCAGATTTATTTTGCATTTTTATTAATATTTTTCGCGGCCGATTGATCAGGAAATTGAAGATAAATGAGTTCATTTTTACGATATTTATTGAAAAATGTCTGGAAGATTGATTTTTCATTATTACTAATATTTTTCACGGCCGATTGACCAGCAAATTGATCATTAAAAAGTGGAAGATAAATGAGTTTACTTTTACAATATTTATTGAAAAATGTCTGGGAGATTTATTTTGCAATATTATTAATATTTTCCGCGGCCGATTGACCAGCAAATTGATCACTAAAAAGTTGAAGATAAATGAGTTTATTTTTGCAAAATTTATTGAAAAATGTCTGGGAGATTTATTTTGCATTATTAGTAATATTTCTCGCGGCCCGTTGATTAGCAAATTGATCATTAAAAAATGAAGAGAAATAAATGAAAAATCTGTGGACAGTTATCCGTACGAAGAGGACATGGATCGGGGTAAATTCTACATGAAAACACGCTGTCCGGCCTGGTGCGACCGCATCGTCATGAACGCCGCCGGGCGGCACTTGCTGGCCACGCATCACGCCGCCGTCGTCCGTCCCGAGTACGATCTGATCGGCGCCTCCGTCTGCATGGGCGACCACAAGGTACTCGCGCTTGGAATCTTCCTTTTGACGTTGACTAATTTCAGAAAATATTTTTGAGATGATTTTTCTACTGATTTTATTTTTCGTACGAATTTTACGTGATAGTTCGCAGAATTAAATGCCGATTAATGGCTGAAGGATGGTCGTAGTGCAGGGGCATACACCGTAAAATGCCACACCAAGAAGAAGGGAATTAACCAGTGTATTATGCGCCGCTGGAGCGGCTAAAATAATTCCGCGGCGCAAATAAAAACCGCCCAATTTTCTGGTTTGAATTTTGAAATTTTTAAAACATTGCTTTGACTGCCTCGTCAGCTGAGATTGACTGATTGCCTTTGCACGCGTGTGATGCATGCCAGTGTGTGTGTGTGTCTCCCTATTTTTGCCCCAATTTACAGCCAGTTCGCTGGAACATCGCGGGAATTTTTCTGCAGGTTTCGGATGGGAAATAATCGGTGTCTGGAATTTTTGGGATTTTATTGGAAATTTTATTTGGAATTTCTGGAATTTTATTTGGAATTTCTGGGAATTTTATCTGGAATTTCTGGAATTTTATTGGGAATTTCTGGGAATTTTATTTGGAATTTCTGGGAATTTTATTTGGAATTTCTGGAATTTTATTTGGAATTTCTGGGAATTTTGGAATTTTATTGTCGATTTTTGGCAATTTTTTTGGGGAAGAAATGGATCTCTTGGGATGTGCTTCCAGAATATTTCTTCCGTGGACGGAAATTAATTAATTGATGAACCGACGTGTCTTCCCCGCTGTGTGCGATAATCTTGCCTTAACCGTTGTTTTTTTGTGCCGTGCGTGTGGAGACGATGGTGGACGGGAGGATTTTGAGGATTTTAGCCGTTTTAGAGAAAGATGTTGTTTTTATTTTCCGGAAGAATTTTTATTTATTATCCGTCGTCCGTCTGTGTTGTTATAAGAATTAATAGGGTCGCATTGGTGCATGTTTTAATGGGAAAAGGGCTCGTCATCGCATTTTCCGCGTCTTGTGCAAATTAATTCCGCGAGAAATTGTTCAGACTTTGGCAGCGAGAATTTTAACTTTTAATTCGTCCGGATTTTGTGTCGGTTTTGAAGACAGAAGTTGACAGTATCGATTATATTGAAATTTGAAAATAAAAAAGATTCAAAAAATTGACTCACTGAAAGAACGATTATATTAAAAAAATTAAAAAATTGTCCCACTGAAAAAATAAAAAAAATTGTGATTAAAAATTGTCCCACTGAAAAAATAAAAAAAAATTGTGATTAAAAATTGTCCCACTGAAAAAATAAAAAAAAATTTGATTAAAAATTGTCTCACTGAAAAAATAAAAAAATTTGTAATTAAAAATTGTCCCACTGAAACGGCAGCAAAACGGCGACCGCTAAAATCAAATATCAAGTGTGCTAAAGAAAGTATTTTTTCCATATTTGTGGCTGCATGAAAAATTAAAGAACTGGTTTGTGAGAAAAAAACATTTTTCGTGCGTATAAAATTGAAATAATTAAATACAGAATTTCAGGAGAAATTTGGTTTTAGCGTGTAAAAAAATTGATAGAAATAAACACAAAAAGCGGGATAAAAATTCATCAAGAGGTAGGAAAATGAAAAAATAACTGTGAAAGTGATGAAAAAGTAATTGCATGGTTTATTACGTTGCTACAATTATATTTGAGCATATACTGCGGAATCAGACTCCATCGTACCATTGGAGAATGGAGACCAACTGCTGCTGCCATTCCTCTACGATTTCTCGCATTTTTCATTAAGTGACAAACTGCTGCATTTTGTTCGTGTTTGATCCGCACAGCAGATGCGACAACCAATGGCCATTAATTCTGATCTGAAAATTATCAGCTCATGCGATACGGATTACAAAGAAGCACAACTGCAAAATGGTCAAATTAAGCATAAAAGTGATTAAGTGTTGAAATATAGGAAGAACGAAATACGTAATTCAAGAAAGTGTATTGAGAAAAATCAGTACGAAAAAAATAGGAAAAGCGTGAAAAAAATTCGTTGAGTGGGTACGAAAAAGAAAAAAGGGAATTAAGCGCGATAAAAAAATTTATATTATACGAGTAGATTTATTATGTTAATACATTATTCTTGAGCATTTACGAAATTGCCGGAAGATTTGTTCGATGCCACTACTCTATGATTTCTCGTAATTTTTATTTAATGATAAATTGTTGCATTTTCATCCTGTTTGATCAGCAGAAGAAATCTCCATAAATTCCGGTCAGAAAAATCCATCAGCTCACCCGATACGCATTACAAATAATTGCCATTGCAAAACTGTCAGTTTGACAGAAAACCGCGTCGGTTCGTGAAGAAACAGCTCCCAACACCATTGCAACCAACCAGCCAAGAAAAACAGCTAGTTAGCCGATATTTTACCGGAGCGAACGTAATTTTTTCGTGTACAGTATTTAGAAATAATTAAAGAACACTAAACTCCTAAAAAATATTCTTTTGCATAGAAAATAAGAATAAACATTAAAGTGATTAAGTGTAAAATAAAAATAAGTAAATACAGAATTCAAGAAAAAGGACTTAAACCTAAAAATCAATATGAAAAAAATAAGAAAAGCGAGAAAAAAGTCGTTAAGTGGTTACGAAAAATAAAAAATGGGAATTAAGCGGGATAAAAAAATATATTGTGTGATTTATTACGTTAATTACATTATTCCTGAGCATTCCCAGCATTTTCGAGTTTACCGACATTGCTGCTCGATGCCACTGCTCTACGATTTTTCGCAATTTTTATTTAGTGATAATTGCTGCATTTTCTTCGTGTTTGATCAGTACAACAAATCTGCATAAATTCCGGTCAGAAAAATCAGCCAGCTCACCCGATACGGATTACAAATACAGCGCCATCAAAATGGTCAATGTGGCCGCCAGAAAACAGCGTCAGTTAGCGAAGAAACAGTCCCCCACACCGCTCAAACCAACCAGTCAACAAAAAGCCAAAAACAGCCACTTCTGCTGTTTATTGTACCGGAGCGGACGCGCGACTAGCCGGGTCAGTTTATAGGAACATCGGGCAACACGGTTAACAAACAGCAGCGTACACCGCACAAAAATAAATCAGCACTTTGGTGGTGAAATAAACAAGAAAAAGCACGGGGATCAGCGTGTCCGGTCTCAGTCGAGGATGCTCAGGATGGCCATGGCCGCCGCGCTCACCCCCACCGTCACCGGTAGCGTCACGAACCCTGCTCACAAAAAATACCAAATAATTAATTAATGTGCCAACTATCCATTTTTTTTATTCAAAAAAAGTAAATATTGCGCCGCTAATTAAGTTTACTATGAATTATCATGGCACCACTGAATTATGTCTTCTTAATTTAAATTAACAAAATCAAAAAGCCAGTAATGAATGTTTTATTGCTTTGTTCCTTCACGTTCTAAAACCAACATTATGGCACCATTTAATCATTTTTCCCATATAAAATTACAGCACCAATAAATTATTTCTTATTAATTTAAAGGAAGAAATTGAGAACACCGTTAATCTGTTTTTTATGGTTTTTATATTATTTGTATTGATTTCGCTGGTTAATTTGTTAGATTGACTAAAAACAAAAATAATCAAAATTATTGCACTCGAACCATTTTCCTATCAAATTCAATTATTACGTCCGTTAATTGTTATTCATCCGTTTTATATAATTTTTGACTGATAGAAAAATTAGCTGCTCAATGGGTACGGGGAACAATGTGACGTACATCCGAAAATGATGGTGCGGAAGAGACGGAAGTTGACCTGGCTGGAGCTGCGCAGCCATCCTGCGAAAACGCGGTGAATGTCAGAATAAATTGCGATTAAATGCAGAGAACCTTATTAATAATGATTAATAAATTTTTTGATGAAATAAATGCTATTTAAATGAGGGTATAAAAATAAATGCTATTTTTATTCACTAACCGACGGAGACGACGCTGCCGACGATGCAGTGCGTCGTGCTGATGGGCAGGCCGATCTTGCTGGCCACCAGCACCGTGCACGCCGTGCCCAGACCGATGCAGAACCCGCTGCAACACAACAACAACATCATTTAAAAAGAAACCGAAAAAAAAATAAAAAACAAATTCCAATTGAAGTTCATTTATTATGGGAATAATCGTGGATTAAATTCATATTTAAACGGGAATAAATACAAATTTTAATTACAATCATTCAATTCCCATATGGGCGGAATTTAACAGCGAAAAATTCCAATCGAATTCATTTAACAATCAATTACTAGGGAGACAATTTTATGGATTAAATCCCTTAGCTAAATCACAAAAACCACATTTAAACTGGAATAATTACAAATTAAATCTTCAATTAAAAGACAACAGCTATAAATTCATTGAAATTAATTCCTGTGAATAGTTTCCGTAAATATGAATCGTTCAAAAATGACTTGCCTGCTGGGGATGACGGGCGTGAGATTGGTGCCGACGGTCTCGATGACCTTTCGGCCCAGGACGCTGAGGCCGACGGAGATGCCGAAGCCGCCGAATAATAACAGCCAGAAGGGCGTCGACGAGGAGCCCGTCTCGGGGATGCTGCCCGTCGAGTACAGCACCCACAGCGCGATCAACGGCCCGATGGCGTTACTGCAACACACGCGCAACACACCCCTTCTTATCAATCTGCCACATGCACATTTATTTTCCATTTATAACGATGCATTCTGTTTCTGATTGAAATGTAATTTCCGCATGTACTATTTAAGTTTTAATGAAGTTAAACCGCATGCCCATTCCCGTGAATACAGTGCGGTTAATTAATTGCCAATTGCAATGAAGATGGGAATAAATCCCAATTAATTGTGCTGTATTGGGATAAATAATGACGACCATCGTGGCTGTTCAGCATCATATAAAGCACCGTACCACACGTCGTTGCCGCCGTGCGCGAAGGCCGTGAAGCCGGCCGTCAGGATCTGCAGGAAGGAGAAGATGGCGTGCACTTCCGGCGGATCTTTCACGCGGTGGAACGACTGCGTTCTCCTCCGGCCCTGTACACATTCACCCCATTAAGTGGTATTACAGACAACTTTGCTGAATTAAAATGCAAACACAATCAGTCAAACTTTAAAATATTAAAACTTCCCGAAAATTCGGCAAATAAATAAAACAGCTTTCAGAAAAAAAACAAAAATCCCAAACAACAATAACGCTATAAAAATTCACCAGAAAATCAGGTGCAATTGAACACAAATTAGCAATAATATTTAATCACTTAATCAAATGAAAAATTAGCAATTCCGTAAAAAAATTAAAAACCAGCAAAATTTGCTGAAACAAACCCATTAAAAAATATTCGGTAAAAATAAAAAAATTCTAGCGAAATTTCTAAAAATATGTACTAGTACTATTATACAAGTATTTATTTACTTTTAATACGGACCTGTAAATTCGTAAAACTGAATTTAACTTAAGACTGAACTAAGTTTAAATTAAAAATTTAAAAACATTAAATTAAATGCATCATAAATAAACTGAATTAAAATTTTTTTAACCGAATACAGTAACTGAATCCTAATTTAAATTTTGAAATTCAGGCTTTTTTGAAAAGTGAATTAAACTTTAAATAATACCAAATTAAATAATTCATGATTAAACTGTACCAATTTTTTTTATTAAATTTAAATAACATCCTAATTTAAATTTTCAAATTTAGGCCAATTTCGAAAACAGGTTTCAAACACGTACCCCGGGCGCCGGGAAGCACTTCTGATCCGTCCCCTCGGCGCTCCCGCTCTGACTCTTCCGTGGGAAGAAAAACAGTTTCTTCCCCTTGGGCGTGGCGCTCCCCGGCGGGCCGACCGGCTCACTCCCCACCGGCGTCTCCACCCCGCCGTACCCCGGCCCCGAACTCAACTCCGGACTAATCCGCACCTCCCCCGCCTCCCGCTCCTTCAGCAGCGGCTCCCGCGGCCCCTCCACCGCCACCGTCACCGTCGAATTGACGCTCAGATCGTTCCGCACACTCCCGTTGCTCCGCGCCCCACCCCCCTCCGGGGCGGCGGTCGTGTTCATCACCGGGACGTCCAAAAAGATCCCGGCGTCGTGTTCGTCGTGATGCTCGGCGACGGACGGGAGACTGGGCTCCTCGGCGGTCTTGGGGAGGACCGCCTGGCTCGCGGTCCTGGACACGCCCCCGAATCCCGCTAATCCCGTCATGCTGGTGCTGGCCGACATGGTCTGGCGGCGGTAGATCTTCCCGAGGAACCCCCCGGGTGTCCCGGTGGAGAAATCGCGGCGCTGCTTCTTCCCCACGGGGCGCATGTCGAAGACGGAGCTGGCGCGCGAGGGGTTCATGGAGGCGAAGGTGGACTGCGGGAGGTCGTCGGTGCCGGTGCCCATGGCCACGCCGTTCAACTCTTGCTGGAGCTGGATGGTGCGTTCGAGGATCTTCTTTTTTTGCCACGGGACCACGAAGAACCACACGCCCAGACCGGTGAGGATGGACAGCGTCGTGCAGATGATCAGGGCGCCCCACCACGGGATTCTACCGTCGAAAAAAAAATAATTCTTACTACATATTTTTCTAAATATTTTCCATAATTATTTCAATCAATATTTTCCTAATTCTTCCTAAATATTTCTGCAGTCGGAAAATAATAATAATAATTCTCCCTAAATAATTTCAACAAATCTTTTCAATAAATGTTTCAATAAATATTTTCCTAATTCTACCCTAAATATTTCTGCAGTCGAAAAAAAAATTTATTCTCCACAAACATTTTCCGAAATATTTTCAATGATTATTTTCAGTAAATATTATTCAGTAAACACTTTCCTAATTCTTCCTAAATATTTCTGCAGTCAGAAAAATAATTATTCTTCCTCAACATTTTCCGAAATATTTTCAATAACTATTTTCCTAATGCTTCCTATATATTGTCATCAAATATTTTCACGGCAGCGCTCCTTGTTTCTCCCAATCATTATCAGCTGTTTCCCAGATCTCCCATTTTTTTCCGATGGAAACCGAGATTCCCGGTAATGACACCATGGTACGTTCGTCATCATATACTGGATTTTTTTCCTAAATTTTTAATTCGATTTTACAGTATTCAGTATTATGATTCAAAATACCCCATTTTACAATAATTATTTAAATTAATAAAAATGACATGTAAAGTAATTATTAAAAATCATTATTTGAGTTTCGAAAATCTTTCCCAATTTTCTGTTGGAAAAATACAACAAAATTACGCTTTAAAACGAAAGTACACTTTAAGACAGCAAGTTAACTGTTAACACAAGCAATTATCTCAGCAGCAGACTCTAGTAGCCTTTCCACTACGATTTCCTCTGTACAGCATCGCTTTAATTCAAACTAAATTATTATTATTTCAAAATGCTTACCAATTTTCTAAAACATCCTGATGTTTTCTAATAAAAAAAAACTACTGTAAAACAAGTTTTTTAACTAATCGTCTTGATTCCGAAAGCAGAGGAACCTATCCAACAGAATGTCCATCGGCCCTTGCACTACGATTTTACCCTGCAACTGCTTGCGTTATACACGTAGAAAATATTCAGATGCATCAAAAACTCCATTTATTCCATAATATTCCAGAAAAAAATGCAAGAATTCCGTCAAAAAAAAAATCCAGCAAACCATACAAGAAAATAAATCCCAGCCATGTAAATCAAAATAAAATTAAGTCAATCAAAATTCAAAAACAAAATTCTTTAAAAAATAACATGACACAAAATTTTACAAAATTCCACACCTAAACTAACGAAAACGCGTACCATAAACTATCCGAAAAAATGAATTAAAACAAACCCTTTACAAATAAATTCATAATTCACATTATGTAGAACAAATACAATAACAGCTATAGATGGGTTAAAAAAAATGCAGAAAATATTAGCAAGTTACCGGTCAAAGTAGAGAAGCGTGGGGCCGTCGAGGAAGATGGAGAGGCAGTTGACGAAGATGGCCAGACCGTAGAAGAGCGGCATGGCGTGCAGGGCGGGCGTCAGATGGTCCTCCTTCAACAAAATGTAGCGGCGGATCAGCAGGAAGAAGCCGGCCGACACGGCGCCGGCCAGGAACGGCGAGATGAACCAGGACGCCACGATCTTGCCCAGTTTGATCCAGTGGATGCCGCCCACGCCGCGCTTCACCAGCGAGAAGCCCATCGTCGCGCCCACGATGCTGTGCGTCCCTACACATAACCCAATTATTCATTAATCATCCAGAAAATTCACCAATTAAAATCCATGAGAAATTCCCGTTAAAACAAACGAAAATATTCTTTCTTAAAACAAATCCGAGCAATAAAAAAAATCAGTAAAATATATCATATTAAGAAACGTTCGCCCGCTTCCCCCATTTATTTTAATACTTACCTTTTCTGAACTGAAATAAATCCAAGAAAATATTGAAAATCTATCATTTAAATTCATTCATTTTTCTAGGATTTATTTCCAATTATTTTATTATTTTCTTGTTCACTTTTCTCGAATTTATAAAAAGTTGTTTTTCTACACCAATATAAGAAAGCATCATCCCGTTTGCCCAGTTCCCGAATTATTTTAATTTACCTTTTCTGAACTGAAATAAATCCAAGAAAAAATTGAAAATATATCATTTAAAATCATTTATTTTTCCTGGATTTATTTCAAATTATTTTATGATTTTCTGTTTACTTTTCTCGAATTTATAATGTTATTTCAAATGAATAATATGAATATGTTATTTTGGTGTTTTTACCGAGCAAATTGCTGCTGATCAACACACGAAGCTTCTAATTTTCTTCCAGTGCAGTCTTTAATTAAAATTAAAAATACGGCAATAAATCGGCGAAATCCAATGCGGCGTAATAATTGGCATTAAAATGGATAAAATTATAAAATCGCCTATCTGTAATTATGGTAACCGGTGATGACGATGCGGTGGACGTACCGGAGACGGGGATCTTCATGAAGGTGGCGATGAGCAGCCAGATGGCGGCCGACACCAGCGCGGCGATCTCGCCCAGCATCAGCGTCTTCTCGCTGCCGCGGTACTCGCGCAGATCGGCAATGTCCTTCCAGATCGTGTCCGACACTTTGTACCCGATTAACACCGCCCCTAAACCACGAAAACGTCAACGTTAATACTCCTATTACTTATTTGGCAGTTTAACGTATTTTGCATTATTTTCATTGGTTCGTTCACAAAACAGAAAAACGCCTGCGCTGGTAAACACCAATTAAATCATTTCAGACATTTTTAAATTAAATTTCAGCCGTAAAAATACTCTGCCAATAAAAAAACATATTAAAATATTTTAAAAATATTCAGTCAAAAAGAAACGTTAAAATTATACTTACACTAATATTCAGCTGAACGCTACGGTAATGGAAAAACACATTGCCAACTCGACAATTAGTACTGATACTGACATTTTTACAAAATATAATAACATATTAATTTTATACCAATCAAAAAGCGAATAAAATAAAAAAATGCCTAAAAAAAGCGAATAAAATTTTTAAAAAACGATTAAAAAAGCGAATAAAATTATAAATAGATTGGCCTTCGTGTTATTATGTAAACTATTGTTTGTGGGTGTCCACCTGATCACCCGAACAGCGTACTAACAATTAACTGATAAAATAATCAACTATAAATGAATCATGCCATTATCAAAAACTTTCGTGATAAAAATGCGCTGCAGCAGCCACCTTCCACGCTGCGCTCATTTCATCAGCCGCAATAAAAATGATCACACACCCTGGCATATTTTTTCACTCTAGCCCCTATCCTCGCCAGACACCTCCTTATTTTTCCAATCTACATATTTATCATCGTCACGCAGCGACCATAAAACCGCTTCCGTGCCGTGGCATAATTAATTTTTTTATGATCATTTCTTTATTGATTTGGTGTATTGTTTAGTCGTGGACTGACCGAGAGATTCGAAGATGACGGCCATGATGCAGGCCTGGCGGAGCGTGAGGACCTTGGAGCCGACGGAGGTGCCGAAGGAGTTGGCCACGTCGTTGGCGCCGACGGCGAAGGCCAGGACGAAGGCGATGAGGAAGCCCACCACCACCATCCAGATGATCTCGCCCTCCTGACTGAACGCCCGGATGTTGGACCACGGCGTCGACACCGCCACCTCCACCAGCTCCGACACCGCCGTGGTACTCATTCTCCCGGATATATTTGTATGTACCTCAGTTAAAACCCGATAAAATCAACCCGACAACCTGCAACAGAACATTCTAGGTATTTTCTCCCAGTCGTTTTGTATTTTCATTTTTTTCTAATATCGGTATATTTAAATATTTTCTGTTATAGGATTAATTATGTATTTTTTCCCGTTAAAACAGTTTATTACCTCTAACTATAAGTAATTTTATTTTTTTACCAAATTAACTAATTATCAAATTTTAATAAACAATTTTTCTATTAATTTTTTTAGCAAAAATTTCCCGCGTCAGCACAGCCGCTTCCTGTGCGGTACGAACAAGAGTACGCATTTCTGTACGTCAGTTAAAATCCGCTAAAATCAACCCAACAACATGCAATTTAAATCGCCGCTCAGCTTATTTCCTGTGAGGAATTGTTTTAAATTACTTTTTTTAATTTTTATAATTTTGTTCTAATTAATACGCAAATTTCTAACTGAACTCCTTAAAGGGATCTTGACTGTCCAACGGTCCCGGCTTTCGCAATGTTAAATTCGGTATTCTACACACTAGTGTCAACATTTCCCTTTCAAAACGCTGTATACAACATATTTATTAGGCTGCACAATGGTTTAATGGCGCATTTTATGTCTCACTCATACTGCCTTGGCTGCCATATTACCAGCACTAAACCGACCGCTTCCCAGACATTCCGGAATTTTTTTACCCGTATTATTAGTAATTTCTGGTCATAATTTGAGTCATAACACACACGGTAATGTCGATAACCAACAGGTTTCTGGCGCGGGCCCACAGCCATAATTATGCACACTATCAATGGCCATCTCCATGCGCTCAAAAAACACCCACTTTGCACCTGACAACCCATCCACTCATTCATACTGTCAGCGATTTCCCGTAATTCCCCGGCCTCGCTTTTCTACACGCCACTCGACGTCCGTGTCTCAAAGTCCAAACGAGTGAAATAAAGATACCGGTACGGATCGATAATTACCATTTATCATGCTAATAAATTCACAAACCAGTTAAATTTTCTAAAAGATTTTCCTAAATTCTAAACAAGAAGAATTTTACTGTATTTTAATTTCTCAAATAAATAAAAAATACCCAGCGCTGTAATTCATATCCTGCAGACTTTACACTGCCGTTCAGTCATTAAAGCAAAGCATTACGAATAATTTCATGAGATAAATATTTCCAGGATTATTTTAGAATTATTTTTCAACCATGACTAATGCAGAAAAAATTTGAATAATATTAATAAATAATTTTCGGCGAAATTCTGAGCATCTGGCCGTGTTACGGCATTTTAGGCTATTTATAGTTGCGACACATTTGCATGCTGCGCATATATTCAGCTGTTTCTTAATGGGTTGTTTACCAACCGCCACTCTGGCAAAACTGCCGGTATTAACATTCGCATTTCGAATATTCTCCGCAAACATCGCAATCGCTGTATTTCTAAACTGTAAAATTATTACCAACAAAATGCAACAAATTACTATTAGCCATCGAAAACAAATACAAGTATTTTGAAACAATTGTTCAAAAATCGATATCCCAGCTCCAAAAAATATTCCCAAAAACCACAAAATCAAGGGCAGTAAAATTAAATTATACAAAAAATCATTATAAAATATTTTAAAAAACGAACTGAATATTAATGGAAAAAATTATAAAAATGGTTGATAATCTGTACGAATATTTAAAAAGCTTATTGGAAAAATTATAAAAATGACTGGGAAGTAATATTTAAAAAAAGCAAAATTCGTAATGAATCAAGAAAGCGGAAAACTTTTCCCAGAATATCAGGGAAAGAAAGCCGTTCAGCGTGCCAAGTCATTCCGCTCCCGTCAATTATGTAATGGGAAGGGAAATCAGATAAAAACGGCAGCCGACACTGCCGACTGACTGACTGGGCAGTGAAGGGCGCGCACAATGCCCGGGAAGCCGCTTCCTGATACAGGCTATCGCTCCCTCAAGTTCAATTCCACCCATCAATCGGGCGATCGATAAAAGTATCCAGCGCCGACCACCGAAGCAAGGGCCGCCAACAGAACAATCTTGTCACAACATTGTCACGACACAATATGGATTCTATGTCAACCAACCCGGCCAAGCATCGCTGCTTGCATCAACATTCCGACACACACCCAAACACAACCCAACACATTTTCGATTTTTCCCAAAAATAAATTTCCATTTTTCAGTTTCACATTATTAATTTGTTTTCATCAGCACAATCATCTCTGCACGCACAGTAAATTAATAAAATTAATTAAAAAAGTTTCCGGTAGACGCGAAAACCAGAACAACGACCCACCAAACCAACAAAGAATGCCTGGTAAATATTTACGAAAATAATATTTTCAATTTTTATTTCGGTTATTCCATTTCCGTAGCGCATTGACGCAACAAACGAAGGTTAACTGATTTTTTACTGATTTAATTCCACTGCAAAGTGCAGTTTGTATTCTTGCGCAATAATTTATTTATTTCTATCATTATTCAAAATTAAATAATTGTTTTAATTTTTAATAGAAGTATCTATAATTAATTCACACTCTTTTAATTTTCCACATTATTTACAATTTATAGAACAACTGTTTTACAAGCAGCTCTACTTATTTGCGAGATCAACAACGACGTTTTTTTAATCTTTGTACCTGCTAATAAAAATGTTGCAGTTGCAGAATAAAATACGCGAATAAATCCAATGACGGGGAAATAAAACGGGGCCGTTGACGTGGAATGAGATGATTATCTACAAGAATCCGATCGCACTGGCCCGGATATATGGGATGTATCGCGGGCTGGGCTGGTGCGACGAGAGATTTACACTGTTCCGCACTGATCCCTTCCTTGAGCAACATTCTCAACGCAGAACCACCCGCGTCATCTGCACGGCGCCACTGCCATGCCCGGGGATTACTCCGCTCAACTGTAATCACCAAGAAATGATTTTTGACGATTTTTAATTTTATTTCTTAAATATTCTGTATCCATTTTCGCATAAGACAGCTTGTCAGTAATAAATATATTTTAATTTTATATGCGTTATCTGGACGACGGAATTTATTTTTTTAAAACCAGGAAGAAATATTTCGCTGAATTCAACAGGAAAAAATTGGCAGAAAAGTCTAATTTAAAAAATAAAATTTTTGTCTTTTTATTTTCGCACTGCACAATTTATGAATTTTCAATATAATTTTTTCACGTTCATTTCTACAAATATTTTCAAGATTTTTTGTGCAAACCGATTTATTAATATTATTAAAGCTACTGGCCTAAATAAATAATTTAATTTGGGAAGAAATTTAAAACGATTGAAGTGAAACGAGAATCACAAAAATTACGCGTCTGCCAAAAACACGTTGAAACACGTTTTCTACCTGTTTCCTCTACCTCTTCGTCTCGCGTCGCCACGGACACAGATTCCACAAATCAAGCAGAAAAACCGCGATAATAACCGGAAAACTGATCAGAGAACAGCGGCATCGTGGCGGAGAAACCCGAGGAACTATGAGCAGAAGCGGAAAAAGTCGAGGAAATCAAGCACTGCCGCGAACTGCGAACAGCTGCAACAACAACACCGCAACCGAGTAATCGTAACACGGCGCAGCGATTAATTGGCGCGCGCGGGGCTAATCCGAAAAGTATTTCCGAAAGGGATGCGGGTTAGGCCCGATGGCAGCAAATGTCTCGAGACAACTTGGCCCGTTGCAAAGAAAAACTCGGAGAAATGCCAAAGACGCTGGATGAATATGTTGCGCCAGCCAGCCGGGATAATTTTAGACGACTGGCAGAGAAAAGGTTTATGAGAGACGCAGAACGGCCTTGACAAGACATTCATCGCGCTGCACTGACTCGAAAACAACGGCGCACATGGTGAAAATCCCTGCAAGACAGCTATTTAAGAAAGCGCTGAACAGGGAAAGTATCCATCATGCGGGAAATATCAAACAGAGTGGTACAGCGCGCTTCCCTGTACGCGCCGGTTTCGCAACAAATCGCAGCCAGACAGAGGCGGGGTCAGCGCTCTGCAGCGGTATCACGAGCTATCTGCGTGCACCCCAACAAAACAGTTACACCATGTGTCCACCCTAAATGCTATGCCTCGTGGCACCACTCTCCGCAATATCGCTTAACCTGATTATTCGTGAAAACTTTGGCCTGTTTTATCCATCGTGTTGATCCCGGGATTTTGGCCGTTTATCCTCATGCTCACTTCATCGATCGTGAGTTTTAATCGTTTTTTCGGGTAGTCGATTTTCTGCGCTACTGGTTGTGGCCGATTTCCCATGCGGACGAAGAAGCGCAAGAACGCAGCGGAGCCTGACGAGGGGTCCGCTGCGACGGTTTCACCGCAGACGCCTGCGTTCTCCGCGAAGAAATCGCGGCACGCTGTGGACCGTTCCGACCAGGATTCTTCCCGTATGGAGAGAGATCATGCTGCCTTAGAAAGCAGTGATCAGGCCGCGAAGATTCCGCTGGCGGTGGAAGATTTCGCGGACGATGACGGTGTCAAGTTGTTCCTCGTGCAGATTCCGCCCGGTGTAAGTTAGCAGGAAATTACATTTATTTTGCAGTTTGATTTTTTACGACGCACTAATTTGTTGTCGATGATTAGATTTATTGTTGATTGAGTAGGTAATTTATTGGGAATCTTACATAAATTTCTCAGGATTTTTCGCGGCCGAAAATAAAACCGAGAAAGCGTTGGAATTTGTTAATTTCGTACTGGTTCCGGTTTCGGTTTTTTTTTATGATTTTTGCGATTATTTTAGCAGTTTTTATTTTGCTGATGTTTATGCATAATTTTATTTTTGTACGGTTTTTTCCTGCTGATCGAATATTACTATAACCATGAACGCCAGTCCGGAAAATTTTATTTGTACGAAATTCGAATTCCGACTATTCATCTTCGTTTTTAGCAGAAAACCACTTTCATGTTGTCGCACACCTTATTTCTCATTTTTATTACTTCAAATTTCTGTTTTTAGTGTAAGTGCTTTTAAAAAAAATTAAGGCGATAAATTTTTCAAATCGCTCAATTTCACGGATAGATTGAAGGCGAATTCATTGCGCTAAGCAAGCCGAGATGGCAGTGAAGCCACTACACTACATTACTGTTAAATTCTGTATTACAGTTCACACGGGTTTTCTGAAAACCTACTGCACTGCTCATTACAAGTGTTGTAAAATTACTCAATATACGAAAGCCTCCGACATGACACTGTTGACAGTAATTATGGTGTCTTTTTTTACTGACAAGCTGCGTTTTAATAATTACACATGGTATGACAGAATATTGGTTTTCCATCAGAATAAACACAGTATTTATCGGATAAAAATAATCCAGCGCGGAAGAAGCATAACCGGAAATTTCTGGATAAATGCCTGATAAATTTGGTAGCTTGATTCGCGCGCCGCGGTAATGGAACACGGCGTCATGTTACCGGTTTGTCGAAAGGCATTCCCGGTAAACCGAGCCGTGGTGTGTTCAGTCCGTATTCAGCGCAGCCGGAAATGCGACGTGCTACACCGCAATTAGCGCGCCGCGTCCCCGTTTTAATTGTGTTATTGGATGGGGGATTGTTGCAGTTGGATGTGGGGCGCTTAGCGGGCCAATCGATCCCCGTGGGACGCCGCGCGGGACAGTGCCGGCGGCGCCGGGTGACGCTGGAGACGCGGGAGGGGGAGGATGTAAGGGAAACGGCCGCGCTGGATGTCAGTGTCTGCCAAGTGCCGCCGCTAACGACAGAGGGAGAGGATGGCTCGGGACAGAGCACCGGAAGCCAGCTGGCCGATTATCTCAAGGTACCCGTGTCCCTGTGCGATTTTATCCAGTTTGTAGGCCGCGCAGCTGTTGTATCCGATAGCAGAAATGATTGTAAATACTAATTAATGTATTTAATGGAAAATATGATTATCTAACTGATATAACATTTAATGTAGTAAATTAATCTTATTAATTTTAATAAACTGCAGGGTATTATTCCGTGTGCGTTTCTAATGTAGCATGTTTAATTTAGTCAGTTAATTTAATGCATTAATAAATTTTTGTTAATTTTTATTGGTACGCTGTTTTGGGTTTTTTCCTGCCTGTGCATTTTATTACATTTGTTTGATAATTCGTTTAATTCTGTTTGTACTGTGAATGGTTATCTGCAGAAGAGTCATAACAATTATTTGTAAATTTTTGCGGCAGGTTCATTGAACCGTGACAGGTTCTTATATGCGGTATACGACTAGAATCAGTCGTAGCATATATGAAACTGTAGTTTCGGTTTTTGGTCTTCGATATCCGTGTGTAAACAAAAGTAATTTTTGGCGCCCGTAGAGTACGGAAGGGTCCGGCCGGTTGAAGGAAGCGGTGGGGCCTAACAGTCATGTGACATGAGTCATGTGACATGCGTCGAGTAACGATGCGTGAAACTTGTAGATGGCGTTGTTAGCTCGGCATCTCTGTTAGGTTTCATTATGTGCTCCTACATTATGTAGGAGCACCTGTATCGCACGTACATTTATGCAGTAGCACAATGCATCGGTTTCATCGGTTCTTGGAGGAGAAAAACGGAACTGTAGTTCCAAACAAACGTAATCCAATATGCTCCTGCAATGTGCTCCTACATACAGAGGGTGGTTTCGCAATATGCTTCCAGCAAGGGAAAAAATTTCCAAAAATTTCTCTTTCTATTCTTTTTATTTGTTTGCTAAACAGTCTTGTGGGACAAAGTGTGCCTAATTGTTCAGAATGATTTGTGGAGTTCGAGCGATCAACATGGCATGAAAAACCGATTGAAGAACAAGGTGCCGTGTGCTGGCGTTATAAACAATTTGTAAAAGTCACAGAAAACTCGCCGAGAGTTTGATGAGCAAAGGGATTGTTATTTCTCATACTAGGATGAATAAGCTTTTAAAACTATATGGGCCCGAGAGCGAAGGGAGTGGTTCGCCTGTAAAACGCCTACGAAATCAGTGCCCACCCAAAGTTCCCACAAAGTCCCTCATCGCCGACGTCAAGAGGGCTATCTTAATACCGAATCCACCGTCTCAGAGACAGTTGGCATGGAAATTTAGGACATCCCAGTACAGGATATCGAAGATTATTCATCGTAATCTTGAAGCGAAAGTACGTGAAAAAGGCAAAATACATGCACTGTCAAATAAGCAGGCAGAACAGGGTGCTTCTCGTGGTCCCCGATTTGCCAAATTTCCGAACCAGCGAAATTTGCCCTACGTCATTTTAATCGACGCAGCATTAGTCTATCTTTATTATACGGGCTAGCGAAGAAAGATCTGCAACGAGTTTAAAGGACCCGAAAATTCCGAAAATTGGATGAAATTTTGGAAAGTTAAAAAACCACAAGGTGTTAGGTTTATCGCCAAAATTTTTTATCGTCCCCCAACAGTGATCCGGTTCATTTCTCCCACTGCTAAAATAACCGCCGATTTCTACATTCAAAACGTGTCCAAGCCGTTAATGCGAGAAGACTTCCACCGTCTTTGTCCAGGTGAAGAAAGGAAGGTAGTACTGCATCAGGACCCCGTTCCCGCCCATACTCCCAAAAAAACCTGCCAGAGGCTAGCTTCTCGCGGCATCCGATACATTCCGAAGGGCATGTGGCCGAGCAACTCCCCGGACTTTGCATCCATGGATTTTGGAACGAATAGGATTTTTAAAAGAATTTTGTATCACAAGCATGCAACGTCGATTCGCAGTTTGTTAACAGTTGCTCGCCCATCTTTGTCTAGAATTTCAATTACCCTGAGCCACAAAATAATTCGTTCCTGGCGTTATCGTGTGGAGTTGATGGCAGAGAAGAAGGGCTTTCAGATAGAGCAAATATTAAAATAAAGTATATGCGGCGGAGATTATAATTAATTTATGAATAAAGTGGAAGCATATTGCGAAATCACCCTCTGTATGTAGGAGCACTTTAATGTAGGAGTACATTGCAGGAGTATATTGTATGTGGAGATTATAAGGGGTAGGAATATAAAGTGCTGAATAGAGAATTTCATAATATAGTAAATTATATTAAAGGTGATATGTTTGACGAAAAGTGATAATGAAGAAAGGGTGTACTAATCCAGTGTAGCGAAGAAAGGGTCTACATTGAATTTGGGTGAAGATAAAGGGATTTTTAGTGTAGTATGGTATAAATATATTCGGCTTTCTGGTTGTTCTTATTTGAGTGTTTAATGACGTGTTACAGGAAGTGGAGTGTGTTGCGGGTTGTAGATAGTGATGGATTATTGTGGAAAATTCAAGAACTTTCGAGAAAGTTGATTGCTTAATGGAGCAGACTATTATGTTTTGCTCTGATAGTCTTGGATGTGTAGGAACAGGTGGTTTGTATATGGGAAGTAGGTTGGTAGGTACATTAAAAGGTTGTTCGAGAAAATGTATAGTTTAATTGGTTTATTGACTGGATTTTTTGAGTTCGGTGGGTATAGAAGTTGAGGAATCTTGTGTTTGAGTTATTATGGAGTGGACAAAGTATATAGATGAGCAAAATGTTTTTCTTGTTGGTTATTTTTTGGTGGCCGGTGTGGATTTGTGGATACTTACTGATTCAGGTTGCTGTCTTTTGTTTGGCTCTGGTAAGGCTTTTTAGGTTGAGTATGGTTTAGTAAGTTTTCTTTCATACATATTTTCGTTTAAGAATTCTTTTTTTAATAAAATAATGGAAGGTGGTTGTGTTTGTAAGAAATACATGCGTGAGTATATGCGTGATTATAGAAAGAAATGCAAAATCGAAACTGATGGTAATTGTAGCAGGGAGGATAATATGGGAAGTGGTGATGATGTTAGATATGAGAATGTAAAAGTTAAAAAACAAAAATGTAATCGGAATACTAAAGGTAGTGCGTTTTCTGGTATGTTTGGAAAAAGTTATTGGACAATTTTTGTAAAGGGAACGTGCTAAACGACATTTGCGGAGTATGGTAATGTGTAATGGTTGTCCGGATCTTTTCTTAAGCATTACTTAACGATTTTGTCCTGAAGTGTTGCGTTTTGTTGACCCTGTTAAGTTTACATTTTCGTTTTTTAACTTCACATTTTCATGTCTAACATCCTCGCTACTTCATTATCTTCCTTGTTACAACTACCATCAGTTTCCGTTTTGCGGTTTTTTCTCTATAATCACGCACATACTGACGCATGTATTTCGTATTTCTTGCGATCACAACCAGTTTCCATTATTTTATTAAAAAAAACAATACTTAAAAGTAACTATCTATGAAAGCAAACTTACTAAAGTATACTCAACCTAAAAAGACCAAAGCCAAACAAAACACAACAACCTGAATCAGTACGCTTCCGAAAATCTAAACCGGCCACCAGAAAATAACCAACAAGAAAAACATTCTCCTCACTGCATATACTTCGTCAAATCCATAATAACTCAAACACAACGTTCCTCAACTTCTACTATACCCACCGAACTAAAAAAAATCCAGTCAACAAACCAATCAAACCAAACATTCTCTCGAACAACCTTTTAATGTACGTCCCAGCCTACATCCCAATATACAAACCACCTGTTACTACACATCTAAGACTATCAGTGCAAAACATAATAGTTCGCAAAACATAAACATAAATTCTTTCCCCTACTATTATTATTCCTTTTATATACACAAATCCGAAATTATTTTAAATCCCAGTATTCCTCTTTCTTATCACGTACCTGCCGCTACACAATCGAGAGATTGTCCACGTAGTGTATTAATGTATCGCTGGCTTTTTCTTTCTATTTTTTGCCTTTTTCTCAATAAATCACAGTAAATTTTAATTTATATTTTGGTAAGAGAATGATGATCATTCTCGATTAATTTTGTCCGCGTTTTGATGGTGTGTAGTCTGTTCTCTTGCAGAAATGGACCGTGGCCCTGCCCAGCCGATCGCAGCCGGGATACACGATGTGTAAGTCGTCGCATGTGCCACTACAGTTCGCGCAGTGGTTTCTTAGGTCGGCATATTTTTTTAGGTTTCTTTATTCTAAATATGGTTAAAAATGAAAAAGCGGTATAATTCATGGGAGACGAGAAATGTGGCTGTTTAATGCTGATTTAAACAACGGAATCTGGTTCTGTTTTCGCAGTGCCGCGACGCTTGGACGGACTGGTGACGATCTCGCGCAGTATTGCCCTGCCGCCGGTCTCCCTGGATGTCACGCCATAATGTGCATACCGTCGCCAGTTGTGTTGTTGTTGATTCTGTGATTATTGGTTAACATCGGTTGGTTTCTTCATTTCTTGCTGACAACGTGGGACTTGTTTTTCCCATCGGTGCCTGATACTGACTCGTGCTCATCAGGGAATTAAATAGCGAAAATTGCAGAAAAATAAAAAAACAAAATAATATGCAGATAAATACTGATGAATATTATAAGAAAATCTATTAAATACAACACAAACACTAGAAGTACTTTACTGTAAATAAAAATGCAACTACCATGCAAAATTTGGGGAAAATACTATAATAAATAAGTAAATAAAGTACCATGCATAAATAAATACTGCAAGTACTGTTGAATAAAAAATGTAAGTAGGTACGATAAAAACCACAAAGAAACCTTGAAAAAAAAATAAACAAAATACCGTACTATACATAAATAACCACGGTAAACTGTGAAGTACTCTAAAAATAAAAACTCCAAATGCCATACAACATAAAAAAATAAGCAATTATCTATACTAGGAATGAATAAGCACTGCAAGTACCATAAATGAAAAATGGAGGTGCTATAAAAAAAGTAAAAACATTTTAGAAGAAGTACAAATAAAAGATTATAAACAAGTACTGTACTTTACATAATATGAATGGACGTTGTACGCACTACAAATGAAAAAATTTAATGTAAGTAATTGTATAAATACCGAGTAAGCGAAATATTCTGATATTCACCTGCCATTAATTGGGCAAAATTATGTGATATGCCGGAACGTACGGCTACATTGTTCAGATGTTGTTAGTATTGTACAGCGGAAGCCGTAATAAAGAATAATATATGAAAGACAGTCAAATAAACGGAGGCCGTGTACTGTACGTTACAAGAGCGCCGGATGAGTAAGCGCACGAGATGCACAGTATCATGTACATAGTGAGAAATATATCCGCCGGTCCACCACCGGCCGCCGGGGCGCTGCGCGGGGATTAGGCGTTCGTGCATGGTCGTTAGTGGCCCGGTGTGGGGTGATACACATTGTCCAAGCGCCCTAGCGCGCCATTAAGACCGCTTCCGAACAATGGATGCGCCGTTTACTCAGTGGGTCACACGCTGTCGACTTAACACCGGCATCGCGGTGCACTAGCCACCATCCGACTCTTTCACTGTCTCATTTTCAACACCCGACCATTGTTTCTTTCCTTCACCCTCATTCGCGTGCTGTACTGTATATTTTTCGTTTTTTGAATCACACTGTGCGATGGATCTATCGTTTACCGTACTGATGCACATATTCCCGGCAAAACTTATCTTTCTGGCGTTTTTCGGGATGATGGGTGTCCGTGGGCAGTTGGCCGGCAGCGATGCGTGCACGTGTAATCCGGAGGATGCCGAAACCGGTAACACGCCTTGTACATAATTTTATGGCGCCGCTATAATTCTTAATATTTATAAAAGAGAAATTTCAAGTATTTTCTTCTCGGCTACGGTTTGCAATGGTAGCATGGCGCGTGATAGCACGCTGTTAGAGTACAAAAATTGTCAATATCGTAGTGCAGTGGCAATGAAAAACACTATTACGAGCTGCAGTGCGACAATCATGTATACCTCGTACTAATTTTCTATGACGCTTAAATAACTTTCTAATACCATTCGGATAATATTGATCACTTTTACTGTTACATATGCAGCAGATATGCTGCAAAGTTAATAAATGATTAATAAAAATATTACTTATATATATACGAATAGAAAAATCATTATCTTCATACAATTATAGGCCGTGTGTGTGCCAATAACGCACAGACGTACGAGAGCGCCTGCGATTTCCGCTTGAAACAAGGACTGCGAGCCGGTAAGGTGTTGTCTTCTAATTCGATTATAAATTATGATATAAAAACCTTTTAATGGCACGTTATTAATTATTAATTTTGGGTTGTAATTTTTGTTCGTTGTGTTTTTCCAGATATCGGGATTCGTTGTGTGGGCGCGTATGTCTGCTAGTGTCTGCCATTAGCAAAGCGAAATTATGTTTAGTGCCAGCGCCATTCGTATTTTGCAGGTGCCCGTGCGATGACACACTACTGGCGCTGGGCATTGACTGCGCCGCCGCTGCCGCTACGCCGCCCGCCCCGGGTGCCGCGCTGGAGTTCTGCGCGACGAACGGCGCCACCTACACCAATGAGAATCTCTTCATGGTACATATTTTATTTTATTCGTTCCCGTGTCCCTAATATTTTGAAAAAAATTAATTCATTAACGTACAACCAGTGGCATTAAATTAAAAGCGCCAAGAAAATAAATATCATAAATTCAAAGAAATCATCATAAATGATTAAATAAAAATCAAATGAAATAACATAAATGAAATTATACTTAATAAAGTTTACATATAAATAAAAATATTTAATTATTAACTAATAATAATAAATTCATTTAATAAATATTTTAACCTGATTAATTTGTGGGTTTGGTAGCTTTGGTCCATTATTTTGGTCGAGTTTATTACAACAAAAAATTGTGCCGATGAATTATGTATTACATAATTATACGAGTAGTAAATGAGTGAAAAATTGAAAACAAAACTGAATCGATACACCATATAATTATTTTGCAGAAAAAATAATTACATAAAAAAAATAGATTAAAAATATAATGGCTACTTACTGACCACTGTAATTATAAAGCGTATACGACATTTTACAGTGCGACCAAATTCCCGATCCAGGTAAGTGGTGACCTTCCTTTGGCCCATATACGTTATTTAATTAAATGAAGCCGCTGATTGTATATAAATAATGTAGCGTTGGCCATCGCCTGTCCCGGTCCGTGTCCGTGCCAGTTAGCCGAATGCCCGCAGCCCTTCAACCGCCCCACCACGCCCCGCCCCTTTTCCCGTAACACCACCGCCGCCGCCAAGACCTTCACCATCCCCATCGCCAACAATTCCCTGCAGTATGCCGCATCACCGCTTAATGTACTACCGGCACTTTCCTCCATGAACCCGGCTAATCAGGCGCCCGGCTGGAACGCCTTCGGACCGGCCACGCCCCCGCCGTATGGCGCCACTGCCAACGACCAACGGCCGCCCGAGCAACGACCGCTGCCGGCACCGCCCATTCGCAACGGGCCTAACGGCTACCCGGGAGCGGCCGGTAAAACAAACCAAAAAATCTCAGTTAAAAACTGAATTAGTTTTTAATTTAAAAATTTACAGATAAATGAACCTGGCGGAAGCAAAAAAGCATTAGCTGAAATACGAATAAAAGTAATTACTAACAATAAAATAAAATAGTATCCGCAACGGCCAAGGCTAACACATGTCAATAAAAACTGGATAGATCGTTTTAAATTTATTGCATTATAAATCCTTATTGCTGAATTAAAAGCGAAATATAGGGTATATAGAAATAAGTAATAATACTTAACTGACCAAAAAACTATAATGAAAAATAAATCGTTTTAAAATTATAAAGAACTGTGGTGGAACTAAATTAAATTATGGATGCTAGAACAGGTAGCCATAATACAAAACAGCAACGAAATAACAATTAAAAATCTACCAGTTAGAAAATAATAGTTTGTAAATGGGAAAAATCAGGAATGTGTGTAGATGAACTAAATTAGACAAGTAACTAAATAAGCAGTAGTCAAAAACAGTAACTATTAATAACAATTCCAAGAATGCCAGCAAGAATTTAAATGACTTAAAATTTCCAGAATTATAATTCCAGAAAATTTCAAGAATTATTATTTACCTGTGCTAAAACATTAAATGAAAATTATAGCCCAAAAATAATTTTTTGCGATTATCAAGACGTTATAAATCGTTATCAACTGCAATTACGGGAGTCTAATTTGTTCACTGTAAACTAAAGTTAAAACATGTGGCAAATAAGTCATACTTTCACAGCGATTAAATAAGCTGGATTACATTATTGTAGGCGACAATGTGGCACCCATGTACAGCGCCCCGCCCACCACTTCCGGTCAGCAGCGTGAGCTCCACCGCCCGAACAGCCTCAACAGCAATAATAATAATAATAATAATAATAACAATAATAACAACGCCCTGATGGCCATGGGCAGCGCCAACTACAACCCGTTAGTGGAGGCGCTGCGGACGGTGCCCTTCCGGCTATTCCGGCACCTGTACATCCTGATCACGGTGGCGGGCGAGGGCATGAAGCAGATCCCCCTGCAGATCGCCAAGAACATGCAGGCCCGCCTGCCGCCCTACGTCCGCGAGATCCCCATGGAGATGGCCAAGTCCGTGTCCGAGGCGCTGAACATCCACTTCAACAGCTTGAGTCAGCAGGTCAAGGACACCGTCGAGCAGGTGCGCCAGCTCCTCGAGGACGGCGGCGCCGGCGTCGGCGATGGACGGAGATGAAATTAATTTTAAAGTGTTGGTTTAATGTGTTTTTGGACGGTGTTCTATTTGGCTTAACAGTATTTATTATTTTTGGTAAGAGAGCGAAGCGAATAAAATATCGTTCGTATTAGATCGCCACCATATCTACATAACGCTGAATTATGTTTATACACAGATTATATTTATTTTATATACAAATTATGTTTACGTCATTGAAATATATTTACTTCTACACTGGACTTCAAAATGGTGCTACACAATATTATACACACACACTGACCACACATACTTCTGCGCATAGTGCTATACGGCTGTGAATTTCATATCTTTATGATGTCGATCTACTGTATGTACTCGTATCTGTACATTTAAAAATGTAACCCTTGTTTGTACTGTTTTTGCGTTTACTTTCTTTCAGTTGTTTTAATGAGCAATAGCCATGAAAATAATAAAAAATGCAAGCGCGGACACACTGATTCATAGTTAAAAGTTAAACGTTAAAAAAACAGCCAACATCTCTATCACAGCACAGCGGAAGCAAAGCACAGCGGAAGTACCACCAAAGCAGCAGCATTTCCCTTATATTAATGACAGCCAAACGAAAAAGTTGCTTGATAAAAGCAGATAAAGGCAGTACTCTGTAACTCGCTTCTCCAGTTTGTCACGAATTTTGCCGCTCATTAAATTATTTCATTATGCGCCGGTCACCCGCTCGACGCACAACTTACACTGACAACGGTCGGCCAATTAATTAAAATAACTGCCGCCATATGATCGCGAGAGGAAAACTGCCCACTAAATTTCACCGTGTTCCGGGGCATGGGAACTACTGGTTTCTCTACACGCTGCACGTATGCCTATACGCGAACGGAAATGCGTTATGCACAATAGCTAAAAATATTGATAAAGTACCATTATATAATTAACAGTCAGCGCTGTTAGAAAATGACGTATTAGAAAGCAATACGCATATACAGTAATTAAGTAAACGCCGGCGGTGGGAAATCGATGCAATCAACTAGTGATATATCCGCTGGCGTTCCCCCCTTGTGTATCAAAAATATTCCTCCAGTTTTAGCGTTTTTTATGCGCACAGCCACATCCGTATCGTGCTGCAGGCGCAGCCGCTTGTGCTCATCTCATGGACTTGGACCATGTAAACATCGGTGCACGGATATACGGGCAGGTTAAATTGGACTTGGGTTGTATCCGTGTAGGCAACCGACAACGTGTGTGTGACACGTTTCATGCAGGACGGGGATGTACAGCTTGCTGTTAGAATAATATGTAGACCACGAGTACGGCATGTACAGTAGATGGGCAGTTTTTCCGGGGATATATAAACCGCACAATTCCGTAGCAATTTTCAGTTCGAAGACCTTTTCTTTAGCGGAATTTATTATCCAGAAAATTCTCATCTATAGAACCGGCTACGTTTTTTCCTAAAGGTTGCAAAATGCGCGCCGTTAAATTTGCCTCATGTCCGCTGTCGATCGTCCTGGTACTGGCCACCGTCGCAGCCACCATCGGTCATTAACCATTGCTTTTCTGCTACACCACTGTTTTGTGGTATTCCATAATTAAATAGCTGTCGTTGGTTGAAAGGTAAACTTGTACTGATTAGTTCCAGTTTGTCATTCTGCCCTGCAAAGGTCACTTTAGTCCATTATCATGGTATAATTATGTTTAGTCATTAGTTGTAATAGTCTCACTGTTAATTTTGTGCGTTATTCGATCTATACTTATCCATTATTTTGTACACTTTAATTCGTATTTAATGTAGCATCAGTGGCATATGTTAATTATTTTATATTATTTGCTTAGTTTTCCATATTTAGGCCAATATTTAGTTATTTTATGTTAGAGAAAATACAGCAGCTGTATTGGGAACACTGAATACGCGTCCTAGGATCACGAATAACGGTTGATTTTTTACTGTTTAAATTTGAATCATGTTCATTAGCTGCCATATCAGCGCAGGCAATTCATGTATTATTACTGTTACTAGTAACTGTCTATTACTAGCTAAATTTACTTTATAACTGTCTGTTCATTTTTTCTACGGTACTTCAATCATCAGCATAAGGTGTTTGTCTGCAGGCATTCAGGAGAAGCCGGTCGGTTTGGATATCAACACCCATGGCGGCGCGGCGGGGGGTTACGTGAATCCGCTGGAACTGGAGCACATGAACGGTCCGCATGTGTCGTCGGTCCGTGGCAAACGTGGATGGGGTGATGTGGTCGAGATGGCGGTGCAGGCGGGGCGCAACTACGCCTGCCAGAACCGGTGCTCCTGCGGATGGGGAAGCTGCTGCCCCACCGGATGGGGCGCCAGCAACTGCTGCGCCAACGGCTACACCCACGTCTGCTGCCGGGAATGCTGAGCGGGCCCTCTGATGCGCCGCGAAACGGCGATTGACTAATGACTACCACGTCCATATACTCATAACCACTATACATCTTATTATCTTTTTACGGGGTAAATACTCGTATACACGTATACATGTTGTTAACAACCTCTTTTATAGTGTTTCTGGCTTAGCTGCTTAATGCAGTTTGACATATTTAGTATGGTTCTGAACTAAATATTCAGTTTACCATAATTATGTATATCATTAATATCGTAGAGCTTGCGTAATATTATAGTAATAACGTGGTAGTCAGTTTTGCCATCAAGTTGTCTGCTTATACTGCCAATAAAAGACTACGTGTCCTGTTCGTGATTTCCCCGATTATCAACGCTCATACTTAACGATAATTCTGACTGTAGCTTTGCATCTGCACACAAACATAAATCTACTATAGGTAAATATTAATCTAATAAATATCTAGAATAATAGTAAGAAGGCGTTTTGATTTTATTCGCGAATGGAAGACGCCATGTCGTACGCGTCCAGCTCGCTTAACACGGTGTACCCACGCGATACCGCTTCGTGACCTTTCCTTATAACATCAGCGAGCAGCCGGCAGCAGCGCACCTCACGCTATACAAATTAAAGGGAATTCCAGAAGCAACTTTTCCTAATTTATATCTCGCGCCACGAATGTAATCAGCCGGCCATCTACAGTATACCGGTGGTTTTATCAACAATAATAACCATTAAGCATGTACAGATAGTGAAGCTAAACGCAGACCTTGCTTAACGGCGATCCGGCTGCAAAACAAATTCCAAGAAACTGTTAAAGGTTGTTGACGCACTACCTCGCGGTTTTGTCATTGCTTTCCTATTTATGTTTTGGGAAGGTCAAAAACTATGTCCGGTATTCTTTTTCCCTTACAACGTGACTGATAAGAGAAATGGCCTGTTCTTAATGCTCTTAGAAGGAAGGTTTACTGTACCTACACCTGCACAAGAAAATCCGGAAAATTAATGAAAAATGCTGTGGTCTTTGATCTAACTTCTTATTAACTTCTGTCTATAGTGCGCTAGAGTTGGCCAAAGTAGAACCTTTTATTGACGGAAAGAATGCTGAGTGGTGAATTACAGAAAAAAGGAAATCTGCGAAAATCTGCATCCTGTACGAATTCATAGTGTTTCGGCAACACAGAAATAGTCAGGGCATGAGCATTTTATACAATGACTGCTTAAGGGAAATGGCCCTGTACATGGTGTCAAAAATGGCATACACACGCCAAAACTTTCGATACAATGCGAAACAAAGCGATGCGGTGCGAATGCGATACGATTAATTTTAAAGTTTCGGTTAGAACTTCAAATGATTTTAAATTTACAAACCATATCATAAAATATAGGGGGAATTTCTGCTGAGGCCAGCACTCCCTGTACTTGATGCCGTCACCCGCCTGGAGCTAGTGCGACGTTACGGCAATATATACGGTTAAATCAGGCGCGGTACATAAGCACCATGTTTAGCCACAAAGTAAAACTCCAGCCGACTGACGGCAGCAAGCACAGGGAGTGCTTGCCTGAGCAGTTGAATTCCCCTTATGGCTTATATAAGTCACTGGAGTAACTGGAATACTGTAACATAGTAACCAACACATGCGATACCTACCTATCTGTATCATTTAAATTGATTTTTTGCCACGCCTACTAGATCATTGCCGATGAAAGTATTTTTTAAAGTGTTCTCCATTCCTATTCTGTCTTAAAAAAATGGAATTTTTCTGAGGGGAAATGCGGTAACCGCGCCCTGGACAGATTTGTATTAAATTACATATTAGACGATATTACATGCAATCTCTTGTGCAGTATTGGCCGACGTAGTGGCGTGACTGACTGTTATGTCGCTGAGCAAACATAAATAAAAAATATTCGAGGTGTAATCTCTTAAGAGTTATATAGGTTCCTAACCTAAATTGGATATTCTTAGCACAAAGACCATCGGAAAAGCTTCCCACAAATAAGCCGTGGGCCATACGATGTTATATTCTGATAATCTTGTTGGCCACCAAAAGTGCCAGCAGTGACTATCTGTAGTACTACTGTACTAGTATCTTTTAAAACCGGGCTCTATACCGTAAAGTACTATTTGAAATTAGACCTACTCAATAGTTTCCCAGTTGAACAAGCGAGCCCTGTCTTTAAGTGTTAACGAAACCGATGCCAAGATAATACGATACTCGTATATAAGATAATGTCTACATACCTTCGCGATACTAACCGGAAATGGCTACAAAGGTCATCAAGCCAGGACAACTAAAAGCACGCCGAATTCTAAGCAGCGTGCTTGGTTTTCATTTTGAACGCTTGGTTTAAACGTTCCGCTTGGTTTAAACGTTCTGGAACAGAACTCAGTAGGGTAGGTTTTAGATCAAGAGCATGTAGTATATCAATAACTTTCAGCATACGTAGTTACTCGTATCAGCAGAATTCTGCAGTGGTCAGTTCGCTATGAAATTCCCGTAAGCGTCCGACAGACAAACTTCCAATACAGAGCCGGGTACAAGGAGAAGCTACGCGCGCTGCTCGATGCTCTGTGTGATGTGTGCGATGCCCGAAAGAGGGAAAGTGCAGGGGGCGACCATGACAGTGGTACAAGCCTATCCGGCGAATACAGTATGGACTATTATGGTTATACCCCTCCTAATAGGAACTATTGGCCCGGCCCGTGTCCGTGCCAGTTAGCCGACTGCCTGAGCCATTCAACCGCCCCACCACCCCGCGCCTCTTCCCGCGTAAACACCAACGCCGCCGCCAAGATCTGCACCATCCCCATCGCCAACAATTCCCTGCAGTATGCCGCATCACCGCTTAATGTACTACCGGCACTTTCCTCCATGAACCCGGCTAATCAGGCGCCCGGTTGGAACGCCTTCGGACCGGCCACGCCCCCACCGTATGACGCCACTCCCAACGAGCAGCGACCGTCCCGAATAACTTCCGTTGCCGGCACCGCCCATTCGTAGCGGCTACCCGGGGCGGCAGGTAACAACAGAATGCTAAGATATTCCAATTCAACAAAGAATTACTTTTAAATTTTCAAATGATAAGTCTTATAGGTAAACTGAGTGAAAATAATACCACAAATGAACAATAATAATTCATCAATTAATTACAGGATGACACTATAGCCACCCCACACACCCCCCGTTTTCTATAGCCATCCCATTTCCACACCCCGTTAATTACAGGCACTCTTTTTATTAATTAGTTATTTTCTTTTGAGACGGTCTTAATAAGACCCCTAGCTGCATTCTGTAGGTACCGTTTTAACTAATTGTAAAAGAGTGTGCCTGTAATTAACGGGGGTGGCTATAGTGATTTCCTCAGTTATAACTACAATTATAACGTGAAAAATCACAAATAAAATGAAGCAGGTCATTGCTGTTGAAAATCGTTCTGCCTAAACTAACTGTACTGCCTTTAAATATACGATTAAATACACTGTAAGAATTACATATTATTGTTGTACAGATAACCGGCTATGTTTATTCAAATACTGTATCCGCTCGCACATCTTGAACCACAGAGTCCGTGTACGGGAAAAACACGCATTCAATATACACACTCTAACCGGGCAAAATGCACGACTACGAAATATTCCTCATTTGGTTTCAAGATGAACAGTTCTTCTTGTGAATTTGTTTATTAAATCAAGTCTTTTCATTTAAATGGCAATTCACTCTGGAAAAAAAAGGTTCTGTAGCTGAAAGCTCGCATTGTTCGGTGGTTCATCGCCATCAAGAATGTTGACGCGGAACGTACCTCCCCTCAGGGGCACCCCAAAACCACAACAAAATCCGTTTGTAGCTCGTGCTTACGCCAAAGCTGTATGTTAATGGCTGCTTTCGAGCCTAAACATGATAAAATTGTTAGAGCTCTAATTTTTTTCATTATTCAAGAAGTTCTCCAGTCCAGATGTTGTAAGACATCAGAAATTTATCAAATCGCGAATCGCGCGTTTGGCCCGGTTAGAGTGTGTATATTGAATGCGCGTTTTTCCCGTACACACACTCTGTGGTCCAAGATGTGCGAGCGAATACAGTACTATCTTCGACTACATTATTCCAAAAATCCATGTATTTGTAATGTGCAAAATCTCTAATGCAGCACAAGTATGGTTGAAATAATGGGAAATTACTTTCCAGTTTTATCGAATGTACGTACCTCTTACTTTATTGTTATTTACCCACTTTTCTGCAAAATTTAATGTAGATAGAAGCATACCATACGGTTAGCTGGATACTAACGAGTAATAAAAGAACAACGGAAATAGTTACTCGTGATCTTAGGAGGCGTATTTTTCTGCATAATTTGTTCATATTAACGCAGAATAAATCATACCTTACTGCAGTTACGCAAGCGATGTACAGATGCAGCGGTGAGATAAAACGTTTCTTTTTGTAGGTGCCAATGCGGCTGTCCATGTACAGAGTACAGCGCACCATGTACACTGTACAGTCCCATGTATTGCGCAGCTTAGTGGAGGCGCTGCGGACGGTCCCCTTTCGGTTATTCCGGCACCTGTACATCCTGATCACGGTGGCGGGCGAGGGCATGAAGCAGATCCCCCTGCAGATCGCCAAGAACATGCAGGCCCGCCTTCCGCCCTACGTCCGCGAGATCCCCATGGAAATGGCCAAGTCCGTGTCCGAGGCGCTGAACATCCACTTCAACAGCTTGAGTCAGCAGGTCAAGGACACCGTCGAGCAGGTGCGCCAGCGGCCGGACCTCGGGGAGGCGGAACCAAGAAGGTAGTGGAGAAAATTAATGGAAACAATATTGTTGTTGTCACGGGCCAGAAGCGCCAAGGTACCGTACACACATTTTAGAAGAAGCAGCAGTGACATGTTTATTTTAGTTTTATAATATCCATATTTACAGAACCTTCAGCGTTTTAATGTTTCTTAATTTTTGATCTATCATCTATGCCCATAAAGGTATCTGCATGAGGCTTCCGCTCTTGTTGTTAAGATCCTCCTATAAAGACTTTTACGTACTGTAATGTGCGCCACCGCACACAATTGTTTATACATATTGTGACCACATAAAGCACTGTAAATTTTAGAAATTAAATAACAAACAACAATTATAGAACAATTTTAGAAATTCATAAAACAACAATTTAGAAACAGTCTTTTAATTGGAGCTCGTTTAGGCATTCTGCCGTGCTTGAAATGTATAGGCGGAACTGCCACATAGAATCTAGTGGCCACTGGCCATCGTAGAAAGCGCTTGCAGTGCGCTGATTATGCACTAGCCGTATCATTACGTGTTGAATATTTCCGGACTGGCTTGTACATAATTGTTGCCACGACGGAAGGAGCGGAAAAGTAGAATGAGCTTTTTGTTTTACCAGCTGTCTGTATCTCGAAATCGACAGATTTTATGACTACTAAATAATAAGTTACACTTCAACTCATTAATGGTTTCTCACGAGTCACGGTCATCGTTCGTGGTACCAGATACTAATATGATAATATTATACGTAATGTTATGAAAAAGCCACACTATAATGACACTTAATCTTTATTTCGATTCGAAAATATCACGGCAATAACCAGTATACGCTGCTACTCCGAAATTAAGCCAGGAAGTATTAAGCCAGATTATCATTGTGTTCATATGTAATACTCGATGTGAATTTCTGGAATACTGCGCTGTTCGGACATATACTAACATAGTTTTAACGCTCAAACAAAACACTTTTATTGGCAATTTTAATTTATGTGTAACACTTCCGTTTGCATTTTTCGTTTTCGATTAATACGACTAACTGCATGTTGGCTCGGCTGCACAGCACAAATAATGTTTTGCTTAATATACTCGTATATTCATATTTATTATCCTTAATGTTTTTGAAAACATTGTATGAGCATCTTGTATGTTATTATTTATTCAGTATAATGTGGTACATGCAGTGGCATGCGGTCTGGAAAGGTCATGTTAGGAGTCAAAAGTGCCAACGGCAACTTAAACTTTAAAGGTTCACCATAATAACAATAAACCGCGTGCGATGACAATCTGCCGCTCGTGGCAAAATTCAAGATGCGCGATTAATGTGAATTACGCCCATTTTTGTACTGGAATTTTCGATATTTTAACGTTGAACAGTTTGACGCTGTAAAGCAAGTAAAGGTGCTGTGCGACTGCAAAAAAGTAATAGGAGAATATGCATGGAGAAACATAAACTCAATTTAATATTCGTAGCCGCTAGATAACAGGAGAACGGCAGGCATCTCCCTGAACCTGGGAAAATGAAAATTCCTAATTTTATTTTGGAATTTTTAGAAAATGTCGGGATCTGCCAAAATACTCCGCGCCTGGCAAATTTTTGAGCCGAGCTACAACTGTGACCAATCATAGCTTTCGTTTTGTGCCGACAGCACGATCATTTTCGACTTCCGGTTGCATTTTGCTCTGGAGCAATCGCACTAGGTAGAATGTTGTAATTTCAGCCACCCAGTCTGGCGTGCAGGACAGCCTCGTGTCTGTCGTGTGCGTGTGTGAATGATATGCATGACAGATTTGCATAATTATATCACAGATTCAGAGCAACTAGGGTAGTTATAAGAATTACATGTGATTCCTTTTTCACTACTTCCTTAGGCCCTTCACCATCCCCATCGCCAACAATTCCCTGCAGTATGCCACTTCGCCGCTCAACGTCTTGCCGTCGCTATCCTCCATGAACCCGGCTAATCAGGCGCCGGGCTGGAACGCGTTTGGCTCGGCCACGCCACCGCCGTATGGCGCTGCTCCCAACGACCAATGGACGCCCGAGCAACGACCGCTGCAGGCACCGCCCCTTCGTAACGGCTACCCCGGAGCGGCCGGTAACAAACTAATCTGCCATTACTAACACAACAAATCCCAGTTAAACTTTAAATCCCTTCATAATTCTGAAATTACACATGGCTTCTTAACTTACAGAATAGTCACTAAAATAATAATTGTGATGTACTGTGACCTTGCGGTTGGCAACGGTATGGTTGCCAATCTAGATGTACGTTCGCAGGTCACTATTTGACCATCTTTTAAAAAGGCAACTAATGTCTACGAATACGGGTAACATTAGTACACCAAGGTCACAGTACATCACTACAGTGCGAAAGAATTATTACAACAAACAATTATCAATCACTACAGTGCTCGTAATGATACTAAGTTACTAACGATTTTGGAAGTTTTTTCAATGTTTAAATTCAATCATTTTAATTAGATTAAATTTGCGCAGGCTTCTTGTCATAGAGTACAGGCTGTTGCCGAATAAAAAATCTTCTATTATTGAGACAATACCATAAAAAGCCTTAGTTACAATTTGATTGTTTTTAAGTTTACAAAATTACAAAATATAAATCATTGTGGTTGATTTAAATGAAAAAATTATTATTTAAGTAAAATAGCAGGAATAATCTCAAAGCTCTCAAAGTTGTCGCTGTCGCAAAGCTCAAAGTACTGACTGACGGGCAAACATAGTAAATGCGAGAAAAAAGATAAAAATTGCCTACTGAATTTCACTGCATGCGGTGACTGTGAATAATACTGGTTTTTCTACTGTGAATTACTGAATTTCAATGCTGATACGCTGGCGAAGGTACTCCGTGGCTCGTTTTTCGCCGGTTTCTTGTTGCATCATCTGTCGAAATTCCGTTATCGTGCGGGCAGCTTCCTATCAACGTTTATCTATTTTAGGATCTATCTATTGGCGATCAGTGGTTATTCGTGGTGGTACTGGTGTTTACCTGTTTATCAGTGGATTATAATCTGTGCATAACGCGCTTTCTTATCGCGCATAGTCGTTCAGTACTGCATATGGGCAGTTTTTCCGGTGATATATAAACCGCAAAATTCCGTAATATTTTTTTAATCAGAAGACTTTTTCTTCAGCATTTATTATCCATACAATTTTGATCTACAGCTATTATTTGATCTAGTACTAAAGCATTTGATCTAGCTACATTTTTTCCTAAAGAGTTGAAAATGCGTGCTGTTAAATTTGCGCTCATGTCCGCCGTCGTTCTGGCTCTGGCCACCTCCACAGCAACCATCGGTCAGTAACACTGATTAATTTTGCTTCACAAATGTTTTATAAATTGTAATAGTGTAGTTAATTCAGTTTGTCATTCGATCAAGCAAAGGTCACTTTTGCCCACTATTACCATTATTTTGTACGCTGTAGCTTGTAATTATTTATCAAAATCGCTTTGAAAGCAGTAACGAGCGACTAACGATTTATTGATAATTAATGTGACATTATAATTAGTGGCAAAATTAATGTTTAATGTTTCGCCCTGATTATTTGAGTTTTTGTACTGTATTAAATTTTTAAATTAATCTATTCATTTTTATCTTGTCCAGTCATGACCATAAGGTATTTGTCTGCAGGTGTTCAGGAAGAACCGGCCGGTTTGGATGTCAACACCCCTGGCGGCGCGGCTGGGGGTTACGTGAATCCACTGGAGCTGGAGCACATGAAAGTTCACTATGTGTCGGTCCGCGCCAAACGTGATTTGGGAGGTGTGCTCGAATTGGCGGCGCAGGCGGGACAAAACTACGCCTGCGAGGAGCGGTGCTCCTGCGGATGGGGAAGCTGCTGTCCCAGCGGATATGACGCCAGCTTCTGCTGCGACAAGGGCTACACCCACGTCTGCTGCAGCGGTTGCTGAGGGAAACAACTACTGACTACCACCATATACTCCATAATATACTCGTATCCGTATGTATTCGACGACGGATGAAAGGCGATTACCTTTCCAAAGGGCAAATATACCGTTTACATGTTGTTCTTAGTTTACTTGCTTAATGCATTATGCATGACATATTTACTGTAGGATGGTTCTGAACTACATATTCAGTTTTCCATAATTACGTATACCGGTAATATCAATAACACACACAATAACAATGTGGTAGTCAGTTTCGCCATCGAGTTGCCTGCTTATATTTTATTGTTAGTGTGTAGCAGTTGTCAATAAAAGAATACGTATCCTGGTCGTAACTTCCGCATTTATCAACCTCGAAACATGGTTATGAATACTACAGTACATTGTCGCTTTGTGCCTGTACGCAAACCTACATTAACCTTCTGCAGACATCATTACTGTATACTCGCATCTCGCTTAACACGGAGCATATCCACGCGACCTTTCCGCGCTTTGTGACCTTTCCCTACATCAGCAAGCGACCGCAGCGCCTCTGACGTTATAATTATGTTATTCCATCCAATCAAAATGTCATTTTCGAAATGTCCGTAAAACCAAGTGTCCCGCGATGACCTGTCGCGTAGCCATTTTTAACTGTTTAAATTTAATTCATTTTCACTAGTGTGACCGTGGATGCTGTTATAATATTATGTCAGTTCGATCACGATGGTTAGTGCCGCATATAGGTCAAGAACGCGATTTGACGGGCTGCGCCAGCAGGTCAGGGACACGATATGGTTATGTAATCGGCCGATGTACTTTGTAGTTTGTACTTCGTTTGCGACTGGAAATTCCAGCTTGCTGCGTACAATCGCAATAAACGGTAGCCGCAACTATTATGCAGCTAACTTCCATATATCCATTAGATATTCTTTTAATCCTTATTTCTATAGAATAGAACAAAATACAGTACAAGGAAAGTTAATCATAAACTGATATCACAATGACACGAACCGTATATGTATAACAAAATTCACAAGAGTAGACACGAGATACCAACATAGTACAAATTTGCCAATGACTAAACTATCAAAAAGCTTGCACATTCGTTCCAACAATGTCATGTAAATGGGAAGCGTGAAGCCTGGTGGATTTTTACAATTGCGTTTATGCCAGTGAAAAAAAAACCTGTATTACTTCATTAGGAAGCGCAATAAACGCTGCATCAGAGCTAGCCGCTCCATAATACGAGTAATTATTACAAAACGCTGCTGCAGTTTTACAGTACATTTCTTATAAATGAATTAAGGGAAGTGACACGGTATAACAAATCTGCCAAATACAAAGTTTTTGCCAGATATTCACAGCTGATTCGTATCAGATCACTGATACAAAGACTAGATACAATACTTGTAAAATATTGTACAATCGCTGACGAATGATATCACTGTGATATCATTCGTCAGCGATTGTACAATATTTTGCAAGTATCATCATTTACGAATTAGCTGTGAATATCTGCCAAAAACAGCTGGTTTATGATGAGAATACTTACGGAGAATGCCGCTTATTATCAACTATAGACTCTATACTGAAGCCGTTCGTTTAACCACAGAGCTACGCCCCCATTATCAATTTTCAATCAGACTGCTCAAGGTGCATTGAAATTATTACTAGGATTAGAGTTAAAGTTTTATTAAATCACGTGGTTCTTTCCTTGATTTCAGATGTACAAGTGTTGGTCGCGCTAGCGCGCTCCCAGTTGTGTTTTAGGTATGGAATTTCAATTTAAAAATTAGGAATGTGGAAATCAGTGGCCTATTTTTACGAGGGTATAATATTGTTTGAAAACGTAGATTTTTACATAGAATTGGTAAACGTAGACCATTCTAGTGCTTTCTGGGGTGTCCAACCATTTCTGCATATGTACAAGCTTGTCCGGTAATTTCCTACGTAAAGGTACAAACAGCACATATTTAGCGCTGAGTTTGCACTATGGCAATTGCCACTACACTACGTCGTAAAATTGTGTGTTTCGCTGTATTGATTCGTAAGAAATTACGGGACAAGCTTGTAAATCTGAATATACAGACATTCCGGTTTACCGCTGTACGAGAAAATAACCCAGTGATGCTAAAAATTACTTAAGAAATTTAATGATGCTAGTGATGATCCTGAAACCTATTAACGAGGTTAACGAGATTAAGAAAACTAATAACCTGAAAAAAAGAAAAAGGAAGTTTGGAGAAAAAGTATAAAAAAACGTCTAAATTTAGAACGTTTTCTTGCAATTGCGTCGTCCAAAAAGCAATGATGAACACCTAAATTAACCACACATCAGACGGGCCACTAGTACTGATGCTCCTATGTTAATACTAAGAATAGATATGATTGCGACAGCTACCTAAATTAGTTGTGCTCTTGTATTACTGTAATCAGAACTTTTTACCAAATTTAAGAATTTTTTTCAGACGTAGAAATGCTAAAATATAGAGGTTTTGGCCCCGCTGCGCGTGGCCAGTTTTTGAAATATTTGGAAATTTTTAGAATTTTTTTAAAATGTTAATTTCAAAATTTTAAGGTATTTCAATAAATATTTACAAACTGAGCTTGGAAAACAGAATATTTTTAAATGCTTAGAAATATTTGAAAATTTTAAAATTTTATATGAGTGTGATGCCTTCGCGATTCCTGAAGTCCCGTACTTATGAACATCAAACTTTATTAATTATTTTAAGTATCTTGCGTGTTGCTAAGTACTTTGAATTCATAATGCATATAGAAAAATTTGCTGCTATTGTTGACCTTTCCAGAACTTTCACACGTTCCTCAATGTCACAATACTAAATTTCAAAAATTTTTTCTGAAGCTTAGACCGTTCAAATCTTTCACAACCACTTATGTAGTCATGTGCTACTACAGCTTCCTGCTACCTTACTTACTATTTACTAATCTTCCAAAACTTTTACTTACTGTTACTTACTATTAACCCAAAATTTTTCAAATACTTACTATTACTTACTATTGCCATTTTTCCCAATCAATTACTTGCTGATTATACTAAATAAATTTATTTTAATTTTTAATTTAATGTTATCATCATATTTGGGACACTTGTGGATTTCATGAAGGAATCAAAATGTACTGTATTTTACTGTATGCGAATCTATGGTCTGTAAAGGCAAAATCTAGCAGTACAAATGTATTGCACAATCGGCTTGCCAGGCTGCTGTTGAACTGCAGTGTTTCAAATTCCTATACGTAACGTAACCGCAGTTTCGGGTTGGCGGTACATTGCGTTTACGTGAACAACAATACCACCCGTCTGTTAAGGCGCCAACTTTAGTATGCAACGCCGTTAACCCTCCAGCGGGCGGTACCCGAAGGAGTGCGAGTTTCCTTATGAAAATCAGCATTTCCCGATGAAAAAATTCAATTAAGAAAGGGAATTTTTTGTGAGCCTCTGTTGACCATAGGTCAGCGATGGTTACTATGTCGCCTGCAGAACGCCAATGCCCATGGACGATGCCGTTCATTACGAAAATCTTTTCGTAGACGATTTCTTAACATTTTCGTTAAAACAACTAACCATGGTAAAAGACATGTCGTTTTCTTTAAAGAAGCGAAACGTTTGTTATAATGCGTATGTGTTACGCAAACGAATACCAAACCAATACCAGCAGGCATTGTTTTTGTACCGTTGCAGTACTAGTAATGAAATTTAGCGTTGCAGATTGCACGAACGGTTAAGACGCAGCATGGACTATTTTCTGTTTCTTCGTCGCTATTATTCGTGTTCGCATTTCTTATGTAAATGTGCGTACGTACCAACAACAAGATTTAGTGCAGAACACCTAAGAATAGCAACATGTACCAGAAGACAGAAGTACTTTAAAGACTGTTTAAATGCAGTCTGTATTCTGTATTGTACAATACATATAGTATGCGGTAGCCGCTTCCCATGTCCGAGCGAGCCCGATGACAGCCGACTGTGTTGTACGACTAGCGGCAGACAGTAAAAGATACAAGAAGGCGCTTCCTCGAAGAACCGGGCTTCCTACTTTTTCCTCCGGCAGTCGTGTAAGCTGGTAGCTGCTGCTAACCCGTCCCAAACTTTTGATACACCAATCAAACCGCTCAAACCTACGGCTGCTTTAATACGCGTCGTTACGTCACGCTTCTTATGCGACTGCCGCTTGCGCGGCGCGTAAAGCAGCAACTGATATATCCAGTTATTAAACTGCATACACTGATAACAATCTCATACTGTAAAATTATACACTGCGTGGACAACCTTTCGATTGTGTAGCGGCAGGTACGGGATAAGAAAGGAATACTGGGATTTAAAATAATTTCGGATTTGTGTATATAAAAGGAATAATGATAGTAGGGGAAAGAATTTTGTGAGTGTACAGTATGAAGGACATGAGAGGTTGTGGGTGTTTCTTTACTACAGTTGAGACCTTGAAAATTGCACGTTTAGTCTGTAACTTTCCATAGGTTTACATAGTCATTTTGGTGGTAGTAATTTGTGTAGTAGTAATTTGTGTAGTTGTTTGCTTAATGGAGCTAACTATTATGTTCTGCACTGATAGTCTTGGATGTGTAGTAACAGGTGGTTTGTATATGGGATTTAGGCAGGGACGTACATTAAAAGGTTGTTCGAGAGAATTTTTGGTTAAACTGGTTTGCTGACTGGATTTATTTAGTTCGGTGGGTATATTAGAAGTTGAGGAACGTTGTGTTTGAGTTATTATGGATTTGACAAAGTATATGCAGTGAGGAGAATGTTTTTCTGTTTGTTATTTTCTGGTGGCCGGTTTAGATTTTCGGAAGCGTACTGATTCAGGTTGTTGTGTTTCGTTTGGTTTTTTTTGGTTGAGTATAGTTTAGTAAGTTTGCTTTCATAGATAGCTTCTTTTAAGTATTGTTTTTTTTTAATAAAATAATGGAAACTGGTTGTGATCGCAAGAAATACATGCGTGAGTATGTGCGTGATTATAGAAAAAAAACGCAAAACGGAAACTGATGGTAATTGTAGCAAGGAAGATAATGAAGTAGTGATGATGCTAGACATGAAAATGTGAAGTTAAAAAACAAAAATGTAAACTGAACAGGGTTAGCAAAACACAACAATTCAGGACAAAATCGTAAAGTAGTGCTTAAGAAAAGATCCGGACAACCATTACATATTACCATACTCCGCAAATGTCGTTTAGCACGTTCCCTTTACAAAAATTGTCCAATAATTGTCCAAAAATCCTCCAATAATTTTTTCCATACATACCAGAAAATGCACCACCTTCAGTATTCCAATTACATTTTTG